TTGCACTGTGCCGGTACTAAAACAATAATATCATCCTACTGTCTAGCATCAAAATATCTAACAATCCCAATCTAATAGTCATAAAACCAAGAGAAAACATCTTTGATAAACTACTCGAGACTTAGAGGCACTTTTACAGATATAAAATACTCTCAAACACTCAAAATCTAACTGAAACAATCACAACTGCACTGCTGCAAACCACAGCATAGGCTAACAGGATACCAAAAAAAACAGATCGACAGTGTCACAGCGCCCTCAGGGTCTTCAGTGTAAAAATACAAAATATAGCAATATTATCACATGACATCATTTAAAAAATAAAAAAAAGGATCGTCACAGTTGTTATTAGCCAGGAAATAATGGAAGAAAAAGCTTCTGCCGATTTTCACACTCTAACTGTAGATAAAAGTACAGATATATCCGTAAGCAAATGTCTGATTTTATATTTTAAATACAGAGTCTCTTTTGAATATAAAAATATCTAACAATCCCAATCTAATAGTCATAAAACCAAGAGAAAACATCTTTGATAAACTACTCGAGACTTAGAGGCACTTTTACAGATATAAAATACTCTCAAACACTCAAAATCTAACTGAAACAATCACAACTGCACTGCTGCAAACCACAGCATAGGCTAACAGGATACCAAAAAAAACAGATCGACAGTGTCACAGCGCCCTCAGGGTCTTCAGTGTAAAAATACAAAATATAGCAATATTATCACATGACATCATTTAAAAAATAAAAAAAAGGATCGTCACAGTTGTTATTAGCCAGGAAATAATGGAAGAAAAAGCTTCTGCCGATTTTCACACTCTAACTGTAGATAAAAGTACAGATATATCCGTAAGCAAATGTCTGATTTTATATTTTAAATACAGAGTCTCTTTTGAATATAAAACTAGATTCGGTGGAATCATACAACTTTACTAAAGTCATGTGATGCTTCATCTATTGTCACTGTAATTGAAGTGTTTTACAAAAAATATAGACTGGAGCTGCATAAAATGGTTATGTTTACATCCCATGGTGCAGCAGTGATGCTAGGTAGAAGAAATGGTGTGGCGGCGAAGCTCAAAGAACGTATACCACATTTAGTACAACAACACTGCGTTGCACATCGGGAAGATTTGGGCATAGCTGATACATGGAAAGAAGTGAAGCTATTGCAAGATATCGAAACGTTAATGCGAACTATTTATTCCATGTTTCCTCGTTCTACAACCAACTGCTGTAAATTTCAAGATATTGCTGCAGCTTGTGAAAACGAAGCGATTGCTTTTGAAACCACTTAATGAAGTTCGATGGTTGTCACGTCACTTTGCTCTGCAGGCCATCATTAAAAACTATGATAGATTGATTGCATATTTTGGAGAGATGAAATCTAATGACCCAATTTTTAAATATTGTTTTAAAAAATAATGGAGTTCATATAGCTTTGGAAGTTTTAAATGAGGTTTTCGAGCAACTAGCTGCTTTGTGTAAAAATTTCCAAAGACAAGGATTGACACCGATTGATGCACAGAATTTTGCACATGCAAAAATAAATAAACTACGGCAGAAGTATCTTGGTGACACAACATTTTGGGGTGAAAGAGTGGATAATTTGTTAGCTAGAATATCTGAAGAAGAAACTGCCACTTTTGACTCTGAAGGACTGCTGGACTTTATAAGGCTCTTATGTGATCATATGGTAGAAAGATTCCCAGAAGGAGAAGTGCAAGACTGGGTAGCTTTTGATTGTGCTGCATTGAAATCCCCTTGCTATGCTTTTGGTATCACCGAAATTAACGTTCTAAATTCTAAATTGATCAATACACAGATTTTAAATACGCAATAGCTGAAAAAATTAAGGCTGGAGTTGTAAGCACTTTTGCTGATTTGATAAACTTTACGTTTCAGCATGAACAGTTTAGAAGAGAATTGGCCAAAACCAAGCTAAGAAACAGACTGGGAGAAAGGCATTTGGACATGATAATTAGGGTCAAGTCTTATCAGCGAGATGGATGTGTTATATTATAGACAAGGTGAAGGTTTATGAAGAATGGGTCAGCAAGAAGGATAGACGTGAGAAAGTTGGTTAATGGAAGTAAAGAAATACTGTAAAACATAGGTCCTCGACCCTTCATAGCATATCGTCCCCTTACATGTGCTAGAGCTAACGTTTCTTTTTGAAAAACATTGCTCCAATTGTTTCGTTTTTTTTTTCTTCACTTTTATTTGAATTCAAATAAAACCATCTGTTACAATCAGTTTCATTTATTATTTTCCATGTATGTTCATTGTTATCTACTGATAACATATAGCCTTCACTAAAGCATTTACAATATATAAAAAAACTTATTGAATAACCAAAATTTTCTTAATAAGCCCACTTATTACCCGGTTAGAACGCCAAAATTTCTGCGCACACATACTACAAAAAATTAGAGGAAACATTGCTCTCGTGTCTATAGTAATGTGTATTACCTGCTTTGGTGGTTGATTCCCTATAGGCCAGGGGTGGGCAACGTTTTTGTGCTCGCGTGCCAAAATCGGCTAAATTTGAAGACAAAATTCTTCTGCGTGCCGACCAAAATTATAAACAATGCTTTGCTACTTTAAAAGCAAAAATACACAAAAACAAACCTTTTAAACGTGTACAGACAGATTCACTTTTCAGAAAAATATCATCAGTCTGTCAGTCCGACAAATAGATTTGATTACTTTTCTTATCCTATACCAGTGGTGATACGTTTGCTGCTGCATTATTACACTTTATTTTACGTTGGGTTTATATTTTGCAACTTTCAAAGAAATACACGAACTACTGGCTTCATCCTTCGGGCTACTCCTTTTACGAGACTTTCACAACTGAGATCATAGATTCAAGCGTATGTGTGTTTGAAATGTTTTTTCTTATGAAACGTTTATTTTGCGGTGACGAATAAATGATGATTGATTGATTCGAATGAAAACATGGAGAAAAATGCAGTTGCAAAGTTTTTAGGACACTAAGAATTTTCGGGAATGGCATCTCAATCGCGCAATAGTTCGTTGTTTGCACTTCTCACTTGTATTCCCTTCCCTTCCGAAATCAATTATAAGTTAGCAAGTAACTAAATAAACGAGAATATCGGTCAGAGATCGAAGACTTATCGATCGAAAGTTAGGGGATCCCCCAAAACAGCGCTCTTACTCCATAGTGACACCTTGTGTCCCATCACTGATTAATCAATAACTCGCTAATTATACGGCATAATACGCCCAAAATCAATAGGATTCTGGTCCGAGATATGATGAATGCACATGCAAAATCTGGAGCCGATTCAATCTCGTTTTCGTAAGATATCGCGTGCATCTAACAGACATACACACAGACAGACAAATACCTATTAACATACTTATCGATTGAAATCGATAAGTAAAAATCAAGCGGAAATGAAGAAAAAGGGTGGCATAAACGAACTAAATTACGTAAAGTGTAGTCAAATGAATGCTGCGCCCTTTTCGACAAAATTTCTCGAGAGCTCACTCATTTCGTACGTCATAATATATTTGTAGCCATATGCCACGAAAGGACAAAAATAGTTTAAATACGATAATACCGGATTGTTAACGAACGATCATGAATAAATGAACACCTAGTTTCATCAGTCTTGAAATTTTCTATCTGAAGGAGAATGAACCCGTTTCCGAGACCTCGCTCGCGTGCCGAATAAATGAGCTCGCGTGCCAGGGGTTGCCCACCCCTGCCCTAGGCTATTATGCCGCTGAGAACCAGGCTGCTTTTGGCTTTGGGTGTGACCGGCCGCCGCTTTGGTGGTCTTTTGTAACTGCGTCAGAAACTTCATTCGGAGTTCTCATCGAGCCTGTAGCGAATGTCCCGACATTTCCGGCTAATCCGACTCCACGCTCATTTTCGACACTTTTAGTTTGTCATTGAATTTCTCCGCCTTTCGTAGAGTGTATGCGAGTTTCCTAATTGAGATGGGGATATTTACTCAGTCGACTACCTCTAGTGGTTTTTCCGAGCTCGTTTGAGGTCTTTGCTCGCCGAAATATGTCCACTGATCCACGACTACACTTTTGTTATAATGTACGTATAAAAAAAACATAACGGTCCCAGTCCCCGGACCTTTTAAATGCATATTTATGTATGCCAATAAAAATGTCAAAATGGAATTTTCATCGTTGAAAACAATATCATATCAAATAAATAATCTTCAATACGCATCTTTATACAGTGCATATCATACATACAGTAGGCTACTTTATACGGCGCTCTACAAGTATGTGTACCAATATGAAGGTAACTATTTTTGTTCGCCTATTCTACATCAAGTTGTGTAAAGGCCAGAGAATGAAACCTATGGGCAGGGGGATATTCACTTGGCTCCCATAGACAGTCCCCCAACTCGTGATAAAACTAAAATGAGGAAAATCGGAATAAAATTGTGCCTAACCCTAACCTGGTACACATACTACGGCAGTACCCTTTATACAGTACATATCACAGAAGTCAACAACGAATACCACAGCGCCCATCTTTCATGCTGCGTAATAACAACGAGTATTGTCAAATTATGTACTCGTTGCTACATACTGTTGAGGCATACATTTGGGGACTCCTTTGCAAAAGACATTCGCATCTTCGTATCATATCAACAAAAACTGTATGTCAAGTTCACCACTGGCATGAAATGTACCCTTAACTTCTAATTCAAACTAACAAACCGGCTGCCAAGCTGAGATGATTCAAAAAAATCTTTCGAATATTGCATCTTTAAGTATTTATTTCCAAAATCAGTTAATAATTTGCTTATCTCATGTTACTAGTTTGCATACTTACTCAGATAAATACAAAAATCCTAATAAATAGGTATACAGTGTTGCACTCATACTGAGCATGTATGAACTGGAAAACGATAGAATCGATTCGATAACGCTTTGAAATGGAGGTCGTTTTCTCTCCATCTTCACGGTGTCGAAAACGTCGTTTTTGCATATAAAAAAATGGAACGAGTGAAAATATGACAATATCAAGCATAGCGTTTTTCTTGAAATTCCAGCATAGTAAATTTGTACCATAGTGTTGTGTCTCATCTGCATTTCGATTTTGTTTAACTTCTAACTGTCACAAGATAGTACTGACGTTCATATATAATCAGGCCAAGTAATTTTTGGGCTGTCACATTTCAAAGCATTGCATAAACGTTCAGTTTTTCTCATCTGAAATTATGTTACTGAGGTTTTTCATTGCAAATCCCGGCATTTTCTTACACACATCAAGCGGTTTAATTTTATAGAAGGGCATACTCCCGCTTTCCCCGTTGTTCAGATCTTCGCCATAAGCTAATCCGTCAGGAACATATGAAGGTGCAGATCGCACTATTTCTAAGTATTCTCCTTCACCTAATTTCATGCCTCCATAACCCGAATAATTCGACGTTGCCACATATGGATACTCGTTTCCATTTAAATAATACAAACAATCAACCGATTGCCATCTAAACGGGGCATCGTTATGATGAAATGTCAATAGTTCGTATACTAGTCGACAGATCTTAAAAGAAATGTTTCATTTTAATATTTCAGGAAGTAGAACAAAATTTGATTACAAGATTACATTATAAATATAGAGTTATTATTAGGTCGTTCCGCTCATGGGCTATACACGTGGAGTATATGAATGAGTGAATGTTCGATTTGGTCGGGTAGTATGCTGATTTGACATAACATGCAAATTTGTGACAATGGAAATCATACAGTTACTGAAGCCTTGAGGCATTCATGCCCACGCGGATGGTGGATGGTGGATGAAGCGTAATTTAAACATTTGATTACCGGTAGGTGTAATTTAGTTGACGATTTCAAACTGAAGAGTGCAATTGAATAACAGTACAATACATGGAATGTGTTATGCTAAGCAAATTTTCGGTACGAGATTGGTAAAAATGTGACATTTACATTTTCTTTCTGATTATTTACTTACATTAGAAGTTCCTGTACATGCAACGAAATCACACTGTGAAAGTATATGCACGTCTGTGAGTATACCCTCTAGGCCTCCAACGCCTTCTTGATTAGTGTCGGTTGGTGTCGCAATAAATTCGTACTTTGGATATCTGGTTAATACAGTGCAAGTTGAATAGAAAATGTTTTAACATACTTTTAAACCTAAAAATAGCATCTGCCTTAGGTTATGATCATTAACATTTTGTACAATTTTAGCCTTCCTTAGATATTTTGCTACTCGAATATAGGCGATGCCTAAGATGGGCAACTATTTTCAATGTAATCTTTATTTCGCATTGATTTTGAACTTGGCCAATGTGGTGATTTTTGATGACATTCATAAACGAAAGAACTCAAATTCCCAATTACTTGAACACAGAGGTGGCGCATTGTACCGGTACGATATATAAGGCCTTTGAACTGAGTACAGAGTTTGCTGCAAAGATCGGCTGACAACTGTGACGAAAGGGGGCAGAATAAACATTGATTCATGCAACAACCGGTGTGCTCATTTATTTAGGAAATTTTGAATGAAGCATCGGATTCATTCGGAGAAAAAGTAAAAACTAAAGTAAGACCTTCTTGCGTCTTGAACTATTTTTTGAAATACTGAAAACTTAAACCGATTGGTATATTAGTTATGAAATAGGCGATTTTTCTCAATAATAACAACAATCACCACAACAACAATAAGAAAACGATCCATAAGCACACTTTGGGTCCAATAAAACGTACAATCTCACAAAGAGAATTATAAGTGATAAAAAAATGAAATATATTTCAATACATACTTGTTTTTCAACTCCCCTAAAACCGAATTGTCGTCTGTTGCAACATAAACTCTTCGTTGTTTTATATTTTGTTCGTCGAACCAAACTTCAACAAAAAACATATATTCTTCAACTTCATGTTTTGAGGCTTCCAACTCCAATTTGTCGCCTCGTCGGATATGAATTCTTGAAAATACGAAAATGAATCGTTGATGAGGCAGTTCATGTTCTAATTCAAAGGGTAAACGACTCTGGTTTTGTAGTGTCTTTATTTCTAGGGACATCTGTAGCTTAATATAATGACTAATGAGCCCTTTATAAAACCTTGTCAAACCAGTAGGGAAATAGATTCGGCATGACTATAGACATTGGTTCTTAAACTTTTTTGAACGCGACCCAAATCTGAGTTTTATGAATACTCGCGAGTCGCGACCCAATCCTTAACATTGCAAATGTATTTCTAATGTCAGTACTCATTGACTCAAATACAGATAATTGACCTAGTGTGATTAATGAAATTTCCCCTTCATTTTATATTATATATATCGACTCTATTTTACTGGGAGATGCGCAAGTCGTCACTAGAATCCAGGCGATTGTGAGCCTTGGTTTTAATAACCGTACGTAATATCCTTGCTCGCACAGACACGTGGTCGCGAATGGTAGCAGAAAAGTCAAAGCTTCATTTCCAATTAACTATACAGCTGTCCGTTGCAAACATGACATCCTAGCTAGGCCTTCGGCAACACTCGCAATATACCACCGTTTACTCATCACATCGTTTTGGTTATTTTGCTTCAATAAGATGACATCGCGCGGTCATAACAACGACAAGCGACTTGCATGGTTACTGACACAAAACACGTTACTGGTATATACATATAAACTGTGACGCAAGAATGTGCTCAAGACAGTTCTTTCCGTAATTAACAAATTATAGTTCGTTGTTGAAGATCAATTGATACAATGAACCAGCTCAAAGGTTCAGCCACTCCTCTAAGATTGCTCTTGCATTGACGAGCTTGGCGCGACCCATTTTCAAACTGGGTCGCGGCCCATACTTTAGGAACCACTACCATAGACAATCAATCGGAAAATTTGCATAATATTTCACTCTTGCGCTTAATTACATTCTATCCAAGACATTGAACTTTTGTGACCAACCATTATTAGGATATTACAGAAAAGTATGTTCACCAGTTTGTTGCCACTATTTGCGAAGTACAAAAATATTAGTTTTCTTATCGTACATTTTTGCACTGATCGTTTACCAATGTTTGATCCAATGCAAAGAGAACAAAGCCAAGAACTCACCCAGCTATTGGATGTTTGAAACCAGTTTCTTCCAATTTATTCTGTATTTTTTTCTTATGTTCAGATTGCATCCTCATAGCATATCCAACAAATTGTGATATCCACCACACATAAGGATGCCCATGATTTTCTACAAGATCATTTGCTATTTCGCATGGGATTGATGTTGCTGTCCACCCAGGTGCTAGTGCAGGACCTCCTCTCACCACGAAGTCAACTAGATATCAGAGAAAGTTTTGCCCATCAAAATTTTCAACACTGGAAATTAACAACAGAAAATGATCTATATTTATCTGTATCTGTAAACCTACCTGGGTCCAGAAGTCCGAACATCAATTTAGGAGGAATAACACGTCTAATTTCAGACTTATAGAGAGAAAATAATGGTATTTTGAAGTCGTCGCAGCCACTCAGTGGAGCAAAGATATGACTCCAACCATCAGAGTCGTATTTCCATCCTTCCATCCGATAAATTAGAGTTCTTTGTTGTTCAAACGCAGGAAGGAAGCATTGTATTATGGAATGCAATTCGCTACCAAATCCAGCTATGTTTCGTACGTTACAAACATGAAGTTGGGCCTTTTTACAATCCACAGGATTCTGAAATTAAGAAAACAAATTCAGGTGCTTGTTTTAGCATAGCATATGAGTACAATTTTAAATACTTTTATTTGAGAAATTCTAGAATAAATAGCATTTCATGCTGATTTCTAATTTAGCTGCGTTTTTTAATAATCAATATGGCAGAAACACACCTGATGTACAAAAATCCTTATGCAATAAATATCATGGAGAAATAAAGCCTCGCTGCTAACAAATTTTCCAAAAAAAAAGGAAGTCAGCTTGTGAAAGTGTCTGTGTCTCTCAAATAAAAATTTATAACTAACATGTTATTGCTCCACTATTAATTCTTTGAGTTGTGTATCATAGATTTGTTTTAATCAAACCTAAGATACACAGAATCCAAGAAATCATTCTAGAGGACGAGTAGAGGAGGAATAGCACCATAATATTTTGAAATGTTGTTCAGCTGTCAATTTGCAAACAGTCATACAAAATATAAAAATGAATACTTTCAAACCTGCTGTTTTTGTATCGTATCTTGTACAATGGTTTGTAACTTCTTCATATTTTTTCTAGCAACTCCACTCGACTCATCCATAACTTCTTTTATTTCCTTCCGCAGATCTCTGTAAACCATAGTAAAGTAAAAAGAGCCATATCATATGAACATTAATTTGCAAATTTACGTGAAATATTCCTAAAACATATAATGCACGAAAAACGGACTTGGAGTCTCTTATGTTACCGGCACACTACCATCACCTAACACATGTAACCAAGAGAAGTAGGAGTACGTACGCGAAGGTAAAGCCTTTCAGGAAACACTTCAGCAGGACTATCAAAAGATTAAATGCAAATGGTCCGTTGCTTTGTGACACAAAGACAATACCATCAACAACAAAAACTAGGCCAAAACTTGGTAATTGTATTTTAATTAAATTTCTGGAAACTAGTGTTTTCCCAGCTGAGTGGTGTCATCAGTTGACTCATCAGAGTTGGTATATTATAGGAGTAACTTTGGTTGTGGTTATGGGTCTTTACTTAAAGTTGAGGAAAACTGTTCATCCACTCGATAAGTAATAATCTTAGATTATTTTCCATTCGAGTTGACAAAGGCTAAATTATTGGATTGAATTACGAAACGAGTGAACGAACATTTGTTAACATTGGGTATTATGAAGAATGTGGTAACCGCGGTATAATTTCACATTTTATGTAGTTTCGGTCTGATTGATGTTGTTCATCTGGCAGTTTGGCAAATAAATATTAAAATAAGCATCCATGAAAACATATCAACCCCCTATTGATATTGTATCACGAAAAAACACCTTTTATATATATTAAGTAAAATACGTAAACTTGTTAAACTTCATCAATCAGCCCGACAAAGAAAACGCATCATGACCAAATCTACTAAAATGCAAAATTTTGTTCTGATGATCACATTTACAAGATCTAATGTTAAAAATTGTTTGAATATGCAGCATTTCATTTTCGAGTTGGTTGAATTTCATCGACTAAGCTCCCGTTTTCACTGATTGAGATCATTTTCAAATTTATACAGACCCCAGCGATACAAAATCAATTTCATTGATTGAAATATTAAAATTTACCACAGTCTCACGAAGTAGGCGATAGCATACCAGTTTTTGGTGCTAAATATATCAGTTTTCGAAGACAAGTTAGCGAGTGAGTCCCCACAGCCAGGGGAAAGGGTATAATTGCATTTTTTAACGCGTGTGGGAAATTTTCGCGTTATAACAACTCCTCAAATATCTTTCACTACATATACCTTCAGCAGAATAGCACATTCCTTATATAGACATAACGCAGGCTCAGGAAATTACGCTCTAAATGACTTAAATGCAATTTAATAGTATTTAAATTTCTGGATGCGAGTGGATTTGAGACTAAAAACTCGTCAGTCTCGCCTATCCCCTTTTGATAATAATAAGCTGAAAAATATATTGCTGATAAAATTGAACGAGTAGTCGCATGTAGTTTTCCATGTAGTAAAAAATATATTTCAATTTTGCTTTACGAAATACCTTTTATTACACACAGCGGTTCACAAAAATAAACGCTGAATGCGCGTTTATTCACAAATTAATTAAAACAATTATCATCCACACATAACTAGACACAAAAACATAAATTTTGTTTCAGACACAAACAGGTATCGAATTCTATCTGAACGCTATATCAGACACAGAATTTGTTAGGAAATGACTACGATATCCGTTATTCTCTACCATATCACTTATTGAAAATGAAACAATACAAATAATTCATGCACAATGAGCCATTTTATCCCATTATAGGTTTTGCGCAAAAACTATTAAAATTACCACACAGTAGCTCCACTCAACCGACCTCTTTCCGCACTGTAATAAATTGAAACTAAGCAATGTGATGTATATCAAACAACTTTTAATTGTTTTGCTGTTGTTAATTTGCTAATTGAATATCTTGGGATTTTTTCGCAGATATTAGAATTATTTTTCGTGAGAATGTAAAGTGAACGCCAGCGCTACTATATAGATCAGGGTGGTCCAAGGTTGTCGCCTTCGCGGGCCACAAAATCAATTTTGCATTGTTCGCGGGCCACAATAGTGTCAGAAATAGGTAAACAGGGCAATACAAAACAAACACTTTCATTGTGCAAACAATTGATCATTGTTTGTCATTTATCAAGCTAAAACATACGCCTGAAAAATCACTGAAACATGCAAAAGTTTTGTTCTATCTACATTAAATGTAAGATTTCAAACTCTTCATAACGGAGAAAGTGCTCCCGCGAATGTAAGTGCTCTCGAACATCGATGGGGTTCTCAGAGCAAAATTTGGAAATGCTAATTGCTCACATGATAGCAAAATTCTGTTTTAGATTACATTTTTCATACCTGCTGAATGATTGATTATCATATTCTACCAAATGAAAGGTACAAGAGAGTAATTACTAATTTTTCTGACATATTAGAATCATTTTGTGTAATATTGTTTAGTCTGGTTGCAAAACATCACCAGAAGGAAATATATTCTCAGGCCATAACATTATTAATTATTTATTATATTTACTTATTATAAATGTTGGAACATATTCCCAACCAAAAAGATAGAAAGCTAATGAATTTGGACTACCCAAGCACACTATTCAACTTCGCTAGTTGCTTCAGCTAGCCATAACATTAGTCAATTCAGTGACATTAGTCATGTAACAAGATGTCGGAAAGATTTTCAGAATATTTTTAAGACGAAACAACACCAAATGCGGTTTTTCGATTTCCCTTCAGCAAGGGCTACGCGGGCCACGGATAATGACGCTGTGGGCCTGGCTTTGGACCACCCTGATATATATTATGGAAACCCCCTAGCACCACGCTTAAATCCAGACATAATCTCGCATTTTTACACCTACATGCACAGATTGGACGTTTGTTGTCGAGTCTATTGAATATAACAGGGATGGCGAACCACTGACCCGCGGGTCACAAAGTGACCCACTGCGTTTTATTCGTGACCCGCTAAGGCACGAAAAAAATTAAAAAAAAATGCTAACATATCAGTGATAAAAATTGATAAAACCGGCTTTAAACTAATCTAACAATAACTAAACTACTATAATGTACCGTCAGTTGGGCAGTCAGGGCTGCGATCTCTCATATTCAAATTGTTAATTTTCGGGCCAGCATGGTATGGTGGATATATTCGGGCCAGTATGGTGGCCAGTAATTTCCAAAACCCCTAATCTTGGACGCATGTCTGCACCGCTGTGTACCGTTATTCAGCTATTGGCTCTGATATCGTTTATGACATAACAATGCAACCGATCTGTTCATCTCTCGTAACGTCTTGTCTATTTCAGGAGTGCATCTGCAAACTGTTTTAGGGGTTATACGAGAACTAGATGCTACTTTGCATTTTATCAGTTTCTCGCCTACAATGCCGTTGAGAAAATAAAATCTTTCATACTTTAAATAATAACCTAGAAATCTGAAATAACAATGGGGCAGTGCAAAAGTGCCTTAATGTGGTTGAAAGCTGATCGAAAACAGGACACTATCAGAGTGGAATTCCCTCCAAACTCTTTGGAACCGTAAAATAATTTGCCGCATCATCCTAAACGTTTTTGGTAATTCATATACGTTGTTTCGTACTCCAATATCATAAAATTGAGTGCCCTAAAAAGTCGTGCCACAACAAAAGTGCTGCATAAGTAGAGCCCAAAACTACTCCAACACCAACAGAAGCTTAGGATATAAGATTTGTTTAAGAAGTTTCTTATAGATACAAACATTGGTTGAATATCTGTGACCCACTCTCTTCTGTTCCGCGATAAAAATATAATTTTTGACCCATTCATTGAAAAAGGTTCGCCATCCCTGGAATATAATAACGTACACGAGATTGACAGAACCTTATAACTTATGACCAAAAGAACCGCAGAAAACGGGACAGCAAAATGATAGTACTACATGTTTTACCATAAAATGTGGGCAGCTGTTTACAAAATGAGTTCTAAAGAAAACTGTTATAGGAGAACGAAATTTAAGTTCCATATTATATTGTATATTAATATCAACTGGGACAGGGGCACAAGCATTTCAACTGAGGTTCTAAAAATAACCATTTTGCAGCACGTAAACTCTCTATCATTAAACGATGCCAAAACAATTCCAGCGATGGTACTATTCTGTCAATTAGTGGTTAGCAAGTTTCGTGTGAAAGTTTGGATGATGCAGATATAAAATAATAGGTAAATTTGAATTTTAAAAAGCGAATGTTAGTAATTGATGTATTCGTCCAAAAATCGAATTCGAATAATATTGATAAACTTTTAACAATGCTGAAAGTGCATCAACGAAGACTTCTCACAGCGTAGAACACCAAATCATTTCGAATTTAGCGAATAATGGAACAAACTTGATTCATCACATCTGTGGTCTCAATTTGATTATACATAGGCTGCTTGACAATTGAGACTGCAAATATTTTTGAGAAATTGGTACAACACAGTTACGTATGGGAAGCGCGCACTTGATGGGGAAGGAATCTGTATTACTGTGAATTACCGTCAGTATTCAATCGTTATTGTTTTGTTATAGATCATATTATCCTGAGTAACATTCCGAATAAGGTGCTTTCAATAATTTTTGATTCATATTTTTTGTATTTTATTAAAATTCCCCTAAATATCATGAATTCAACAATTCATGAATCAATTTTTGGTTCTGGTAGTTCTATATTTGCCTAATTTTGGTAAAATCCAACAAAAAAATTTGCCATGTCAACACCTAGGCACAAACGCGAAACAACGATTAACAAATGCAATCCATATTATTCTTTAATATGTCTAATCAGGAAGCAATATGATTGACCTGCTTTTCCGACCGCTGGAAGTCTGCTACGAACCATTCATTCGGCCATACAATACGGAGCATTTCACAAGTGCCTATATAAAGTGTTTGAGCATGTCACCTCTGTCCGTCGTGAATTAGTACATAAAGAGAAGAGTTTCGTGACGCCTATATATTGAAACGTACATGTATCCATCATTTACATTCATATGCACGGTGCTTGGTAGATCGAGTTTTCGAGCAGATGATGTGATGTGTAGCCAGTAGTTCTTGACATCCTCAAGTAAATTCCACAAAACCTTGAATTCTGATTTCTGCGAAGAATAAAGTTAAACAGAAATTTATTATTGGCAATGTAGTTCAAAAAATAAAGATATCGTCTATGTGGGATAATCCATTGGAACTCGAAACAATGAACCATTCAACACTAATGTTTACTTACGTTTTCGGTCTCGCATTGTTCACCATCGAGAAATCGGCCGACGGTATCAAACTGACTGACGAGAGTACTGTGAAAATAATATTGTTCATTGCAGAAAGGAAATTTGTTATTCACAAATTTTACTGATACTATTTAGCTAATATAATTTTTAGGAAAATTCGATATAAATTTTTGAATGGTTGAGAGGTTTGCAACTCAATCACCAGATGGTCTCCGACGCATCATTGCAATTCAGCGACAAGAATTTACGCAAAAAAATTATACGTGGTCACAAATATTCAATCCTGTCCTCTTCACAATCTTCCATTAATTAATATTGAAAATTGGATTTGGGCAACTGTAACATCACGGGGAACTCACTCGTATCCATCCCGAAGAGACTGAAGGATATTTCCATTTCGTCCCGATTGATTTATGAATAATGCTGATATTGTAATCCAATACTTTTTAAATTTTGATTGAATGATCTTAATTCTATTCTTTTTCCCATGTTGATTTGATTCGTTAAAGCTGGAACAAACAATTTTAGCAAGTCTTTTTGAGGAATCCAAAACATAACAAAAAGAAATTATCTGGCAATTATTTGAATAAGTCATCCCAAATCTAATTTACCTGCATGTTGGTTATTCCAAAAAAACATCTACGGAAAAAACATGTTCGAGAGTGTACAATTTAATCTGGCGCTTAAAAAAGTTGTCAACGATGTGCTAGCAACAAACAATTTCTGTGTCGCATATATCAATTAGCTGATTACCTTCATGGGTTGTATTTCAAAAGGGGATTACAAAATTGAGTGAATATATCAAGCATTTGCCATCAGTTCCGAAAGTATTTTCGCTAAAATTGTAAAAGAAAGGTCTCTCACCTGCGTAGACAAGGTTTACTCATACGAGGCACTAATAATTGTTCCTTCCATCTCGATAACTTCGTAGATGCTTTTATTTGCTCGGAAACTGAATACCTGGAATTAAAATAGGAAATAAGCTGCTGGTAAATGACAGCTTTACCTATAGATGATATGACCTAAAAAACTCTGTAAATTTGTAATAATGAATCAAGAGTATCCGTATTTGCAACGTTTTTATTTTTGTATTTAATGGCACATTGCTGTTCTAGCGTGATGGATATGAGCCTCGTTAGACATAGATAGACCTGCCCACGCATGATAGTGTTTCCTCAACGTTTTTTTTTAATTTGCCAAGGTAGTTCTGACTGTCTGTGAGCATCCGAGTAAAAAATTTGTTAAGGTAGTTTCGATTCAATTTTGAATGTGTGTGCCATGTCCCACCTTTGAATGTATCAACTTATCACGGACAATTTTTTGTAGAGTATTTGATTTTTATATATTTTTTGGCGTTATACATAAAGTAGACTTCGTTCGCAAGACATAAATTTTTAAAAGTCAACCCTGCCGAAATCGACCGATAATTAGTAGGGTCCGCTGATGACGTTTTACTGAAAACTTGTCGGCGTACTTTTGCATTAGGTTAACGACAATTACAGAGATCTTTGCGTCATTTTCAACCGTGTGCGAGTTTCATTGGGCGTTGTATTTGCCAAACACAACAGTGGTACATACAAATATTTTCGAATACTATGGTTGCATTATTGTAAATAACAGTAAACTTAACAAATCGAGGTTAGAATATACTCGATCTCTATGCCTGACCTATTGCTATACCATAATTCCAAGGGAAATAACGGATACTAGGCTATTTTTTGTCTCAAATCATAAAGCTTTTATGCTTTATTTGGGTTTTGTCTGCTTTTCTGATTCTGTAACCGGCATATATATATATATGTATAGTCAATATCAGCATAAATGTACATATGCTTCAATAGAGGTTGAATACCCTACTGGCGAACGTGCGATAAATGTACGTTCTAGAAGGGTTTCTGAAGAGGCCGTTTCTGAACTGCGGTCGATTTTTGTTTTCAAAAGGTAGAAAGCTAAAAATTTTCTTGCTAACCCACTTTTAATACTTTCAGCGAGATCTAAACAATGCATTCTTTCACAGATATTGCCTTTGAATATCAATTTCCCATATTGTATTCCTTATGCTTGTACTGTTGTATCATAGTAATTAGGATACTAGTATTTTAGTAAGTCTGTTTTAAATAAGGCTTTGTTCGTTTTCCAGAAGTCTCCATATAATATATTATTCTCAGATAAAAGCTACAAGTTGCCATCAAAAACCATGATGAAGCTAATACCGAGCAGATAACTTACCACGCACCTTCTCGAATACATCAAATGATATGATGCAGTGATCATTACAACAGAAATAAACAATAAGATGATCCTTCTTTTATTTTTCAGCTTTCTCAACATATTCTGCCAACTATCCATAAATAATTGAAGGCTCATATCTGAAAATAACATAAATCCATACCAAAAATAGACAGCAAGAATGGCTATCGTTACTGCATCACCGTGTTTCATGCTACATGCTGCGACAGCGTACGACTAACCGAGCAGCACCTTTCGATATGCGTCGGTTCCCATGAGAGATGGAATAAACCTCCCGTCTAATTTAACATTGCTAATAAGAGAATTGAGTTTGAGCCTTTTCTCAGCTCGCTACTCTAATATTCGACTGAATCCTTCTGCTCAACTATAAGAGTATTGAAACGACTGCGTTGTTGTGACATTCACTGATTTCACACAACAGTGTCAATCCCATCAGCCTCTTCCTGCTCTTGATGTCAACGAGTGTTGAAAATCTAGCATCACATAAATGAGTGTAACCATGTGAACAGGGAGTTAAATAGATTGTGGTTACCAATATTTAGCTGTATAAATGGTCAATTCACCAACTACCACGCTTTCAGTTTTTCTTATTTCAGTTAAACATTAACGAATTGATGTTGTAGTTGCCGAAACAGAACTACGACAATGTTACGGATTGTAGTTACGCTTCAATAGTTGATAACAATAAAGTGGGAAATTGGATACTTCGGTTGCGAATAAGTGGTTTAATTCAAAACAATGTGTCGTTATGTCTGACAGAATTGCTCGGACAAACTAGCAAGTATTTCTGTGTACGATGACTATCGATTGCTCACTTTTTATAAAATATTGTCAAACATGGTGATCCAAAAAACAAAACCCATTAAATTTCAAAAAATGAGGCCAATTTTTTCTGCACTAACTTCAACAATGAAATTATTAAAACGACTGTGCTGTTATTATGTTTACTGATTGTACATCAATAAGATGAATGCCTAAGACTATGATAAATGTTTCGACAATCCCGACTACATTAACATTCCTCACCTAAAATGTTTGAATTGAAAAACCAAGAAAGATTACCACGTGAGCTCAGCAACTTTAATCAAAATAAAATTGCGACACAACAGACTACTATTTGATATAAATTTATGAAAATACGAGAGAAAATTGGAGGATAGAATTAATTAACATTGAAGACATCTGCCTCGCAAATGCTTTGTTCTAGTCCCGGGCATACCATTGTCTGTCTGTCGTGCTATATTTATTCACGGTTAAAAATAAAGGATTTCAAATTAAACCCGGAGCCTCGTTATGTCATAAATCCTGAAATATATATTTGAGTTAATCCAGTATAACTTCATAATAAATATATGTTTACAAAAATTTTGAATTACTAGTCTGAAAATAGCTAGCTTTTTACTGACATTTTATTACAAATAGTTTCGGAAGCTTTCAATTACACCTACGACATGTGCACGTCAGAGATTTCGCTTAATTGGCAGTTATTTATAGAATTGGAAAATGTCGCGGAACTAGACTTGTAGTAAAAGTTTTTATGCCGAAGCCTCAAGGATTTACTTTTGAGGTCAAACAGCGCCTTAGTAAACGAAGCCATAAATTATGTGGGATAATTACGGTGTTAACGTTTTTCGTTGAGAGAAACAAAAAAATCTTCGATTGGTACCAAGAAAACTTAAACCTATCGTTTTTCGAAAGTTGTTAGTACTGGACACAATACAAGAGCCATATTCAATTTCATTTTATTGATTTTACTCTACTCCCAAAATCTATAGTTCACGAAATGTTACTTGTCGATCATTTATTTATCTACTAATTATGAAATCTGCAGTTTTATATTTCGTTTTAGATTGATATGCAAAATGTTACAACATCTTTTGATAGTCACGCTTGTGACATTGAAGTCTAAAACAGCAGTTTTGTATCGCAATGATCACAACACTGCTGGATCGCACTTTGAATTTCTGCTGAAGCAATGTTTCGTCGTTCGCATTCACTCTTTTGTAATAGATTATTTATCAATTTGCACCTGCCTTTAGTTTTGTTTTCTCCGTGCCCTGATAACGCGTACTTCAGTCTTCGATTGCACAATATGTACGGCTTGCTTTAACTAATATTCTGTATTTGTGGGCACGACAACCTAGTGAACAAAGCGTTAGACATCGCCGCTTAATATCTCAAATATATTAATATCTTCAAATCCCATGTCCACTCAAGGTGTAATAAATTGGGCAGGCATTGGCGAACCAAAATGTTCCTGTCTTTCCTAACTATAACAGATTCTCACCTACCAGTGCTGGCTAAGTGGGGAGGCTGGCATTTACAACATGTATATACACACAACATGTTGTATTGTGATATGCTAAAAAAGTATATGCGTAGCAATACAACATGGATTTGATAATTATCTAATTACAAAATTTGAATTAATATTCTAGTTGTTAATCGACGAGCGCGCTGGATGAGTGGATCAACCAACCAATTTTGTTTTGGTTTCTCTTAATGACCCAAAAGTTAGACCTGTGACGTCAACTGGTAATCCTAACAGACTGAAAGAGGCGTTCAGAAAGTAAATATATATTATGAACATTTACTTATGATTAAAACATTTTATACTTTGCTATGAATTTATTATAGTGATCATAACAATATCATAAATCATAAATGATGGTAATAAATCTTTAAAATCAGACTCTATTTTCGCTTAAAGTCAATGCCACATTAAATTATGGCCCAACTCTAGCTTGGTACACATACTACGTTCCGATGTCCGCCATCTTGATTCACATACTACGGAAGTACCCACAATTTTTCATGCTAGTGTCAGCTGTAATTTGCAACAAGTGCTGAAAATGTAGCTTCACATGAATTAGTGGAACCAAACAAAGAGTTAGAGAGATTGTAATTACTAATAGTTCATCAATTTACAAAGTTCAATTCACTTTATGTTTTACTTAAAGTTGAACTATCATGGCTTCAGTTTTTCTCCTCTCAGTTAAAGTTCTTAAAAATCAATAACATGATGTAATAGTTGTCGATACTAATCCCCTTAGGTGGCCTATGCACTGATCTACAAATTATTGATTAGATAGCGGGAAGGATATTATTTATTAAAACCATGAATTGTGCGTGCATTGTGTCTTGTGTGTCCAGGTCATAAACCCACTGTGTCATCTCCAAACTTTCTACTGTTCTGTCAGTCATAATATTCAACAGAAAACGCGGTATAAAATCTGATTAACCCAAGAAGAGGTGCTATCGGGTATAGAAACATTAAAATAATATGCAACGAAATTGAAAAATTACAGCTATGTCGAAAATTCTTGAGATTTCGACAAATTTGTTGAATTTTAATAAATTTCATGGTGTACCCACGGGACAATTTTACTTTTTCAGTTGCAAAATAAAATGAATACACGAAAATATTGAGAGTATATACAGACTTACTGAGAAAACTGCCGAGTGATCTCCGCTTCATAAAAACACTGTTATCCAAACATCTACTCTATCCCTCTATTATACTGTACAGAACTGCGACAGCTTCAATAGCTGAGAACAATGAAGTTTGACATCGTTGCACTTATAGATGGTGCGATTAAAAAGATGATAGCCGCTCGCCGTTATGCCTGATATAATTACCCAAATTCTGTATGAATGAAATAGCGCGTAACGGGGTGATCCAAAAATGAACACATTAATTTTCATTTCATATTTAGGGGATAAAAAAGTATTTGCTGTTGTTTGCTGTCTGATTCTGTTGCTCTGATCCTATCTGATGAAGACATGCTCATAGTTCCGAATACATGTATTGCAATTGTATATATTTACAAATACAAAGATCAGTTCCCAGTCATGACTGATAAGTTAGACATAATCCAAGATTGTTACGTATTTTACGACTAAGAGATTTCTTTTAATTTTAAGATTTGAATGACTTAAGTTAAAACACGAACTATTAACCAAAAGCAGCTAATTTACCCAATATCCCTATACTATGCACCTACTATAACTGCGGAGCAGTGGCCAAGCTTGGACGTGCGGTGAAAAATACACAACATGTAACAAAATTCATAAAAACATAAGAAAGTTGAAATTATGAGACAGAATTTGTGTGTGTTAAACAGCGTTTGGAAAGAAAAAGATTTGGCGTTGGTTTTCAAATTTAGCTGACAGATTACTACAAATGTTTATCTAATACACTTCGTTTCACATTAATGAATTTTGAAGCGCTGAAAAAATACGCTTGTTGCGTTGATGAGCCTTTCCGACTGTAATTGTGATGAGCCTCTTATGACGCTTAAAAAATAAAAATGATGATTTCACTTGCGTTTATGCAAATACATCCCAAAGCGCTGATTCGGAATACGATCGTTTCAAATCATAAACACTAACAAGTGGGGTTACGTGAAACTAACTAAACTACCTTTCCTTCCTCTATATGCCTTTGCGCAGATGTATCCGTATGCGTATTTTGCAAGGATGTCGTGGCAAGAGTGTAAACGGCTATTCTATTCAATTTAAGAGTTACAGAAATATATTTGTGTTCGTGTGAAGCAAGACACTTGAATTGAATAGAATAGCCGTTCACAAGCATTTTACAACTGTATACAGTTGTATAATACTTGTTTGAAGAAGTCTGACTTCGGCCAGACGAAACGTTACAGAAATATATTTGTGTTCGTGTGAAGCAAGACTCTTAAATTGAATAGAATAGCCTTTTACAAGCATTTTACGAGCATTTTACAACTGTATACATTAGTAACATTGACATTAATGTTAAGCTGAGACGGTCGTAGGATCATATTTTATGTCGCCTTTTCTACCAAAAAAAAAACAGTTCTTTTCAGGAATTTGGGCCTGTTGTAGTGTTAAACTGTGTGTCTCTACTATCATAATATCAACATGAAGGTTTCATAAAGTCACTTTGTAGATGTACCCCGATCAGAAATTCTACCATCCAAAATCCCCTTTTACTGGCCACTCAAATGGACATGCTTCGAAGCAAACTAAAAATATTTATATGCTATTTTAACAATTTAGTTCAGTGGTTCTCAACCTTTTTTGAGTGTCGGTGGCAAATTTCAAAGTTGCAAAGAGCCGCATAAAAAACGCAAATTAAAATACCAACAAAACAAAACTCAGCCATGTATTTTATAATAACATCAACAAAACTCGGTGTAAAAACTAATTTAACGCTAAACTGAACATTAGCTTTGACTTTTCTGAAGTTTGAAAAAGCGAGGCGCAATCGTGATTGATGCATTCCTCCGCAATATATATAACAATAGCTAGCTTCATATTTCCATAATGATGCCTATTTTAATTTAAAAATACTTCTCCTTCCAATCACATTTGAAGGTTGAAGATTTGTTTGACATTTTGTCTTGACAAACTAACAAAGAAATATTTTGCTCGAAAATACCAAAAATTTGCACAGTGTACGGGACAGCCTTCTTGGATTACTTGAAACAATAAATTCAATGTATTGAAACGTGTGCTGAACATTATTCATTGAAAAATTTTCACCAGAAATACTTGAATTTCAGAGGATAAGGAGATTATCCGTATGAAGAATAGTTAAGAGCCGCATGCGTACTGAGCTGACGGCTTCTAAACTCCGACTAGAGATCTCAACAAAAAACGCTAGTCATTCGAGATACCTAGGACCCCAAATACCATTCTAAAAAATAGGATATTCAGAAGGTGGCAAGAGCAACGTTTATTCTTTCTGGAAAACAAGCCTGTCTTTCCGGCGGTACAGATGTCATTTAACCTCTTGAACCCTGCTGGCCGGTTTACCGGCCAGCCCGAGTTTGCTCTCTCACCCTGCTGGCCGGTTTACCGGCCAGTTTATCGCGTGAAAATCAATCAACTTTATTCCCTCATATCTCAAGAACCACAATAGGTATTTGAGTAAGTCTTATACTGTATGAAAGCTGGTCATTAGAACTATCTACATTTTGAATATTGCTGCTATATTTTCCAATTATCTGAGGATAATTGGCAAAAAAAGAGTGTGTAAAATTATTTGATGGAAACGAAAATTAAATATCAGAAATTGACTATTTCCTGCCTAAATAACCTAATATACAATCGATAATATATCTAGAGAATTTAAATAGCTTTTTAAAGGCGTATCCAAAACGATTTTACGATAAGCCATTCAAATTTCATGGCCAAATACGTTTGATTTTCTGTAGATTTAACAGCGACGCTGCGTCAAAATGACGTTCTCATTGAAGCGAGGCTACGTCTCGTCACGCACAACTTTACGTATATTACGGAAATGCAACAAAGCGTGACGATGTCCGCAATAACGTTACGTTGAGATGTTATTATTCAAATGTCCGCAGAAAGTAATCAATTAACCCGATTATACGCATTCAAAATTCGCTCTACGCGTTGACTACGCGAAGAACATGAAAATATTATGCAGATAAAAGACACATTCTTAATCCAATATTGCACTTTGTTGTGCCAATCATACCAATGGTTGTTGGTTTCGTTACCTATGCATATTTGCATTTATATACCGTCTTTCATCGTTTCGGCAAGTCTTTGTCTTGGCAATGCTGTAAATTTTGCTGCATACGACGCATCTAATATTAGAACTGGCGTTTCGCGGTTTATATATTTCGTGTCGTACGTTTAGTTGCAATCTTTTAATATCTGTTAAATCTTCTTGTGGTTGCACAATCTTGCATTTTTTCGTCAACATCTTGCCTTTTCCAGTGGGATCTTCAAATAGTTGTTCTAGAAAATTGGGGATTGAGAAAACCCTTTTCCCTCTCATATTGTGAGGTTTGACGAAATTCATTAGGACGTAGGAATTGTACGTCGCCCGCATGGAATACTTCATAACTAAACGTCTTGGCCATTTATAATGCCTCCTGCTCTTTTTTTTTGTAAGCGTGTCAACTGGTCGTTTTTATCAGTACCTCCCATGAATGAATTATAAGCTTTCACTGCTGCTGGGCATGTTATTTCGTGTGTTTCGTCGGTGCTTCAATCCATACAGGGTTAATATCATATCGGAACTCGGCGACCGATGTCCAGCTGAGAACGTCGTCGTGAAAGTTATCTTGCGCATTTTGCCACGCAATACGTTTCGAACGTACGTATCAACATCCTCATGACGTTGGTCACGTGATCGGCTTTTGCGTAGCTGCGTAATGGCCGCTTATCGAAGTTGTTCACCCGGCACACTGATACACAATTGGATATTTAAATATAAAATTGGTTATACGACAGTCACAATAATAATTCCAATATCAACAAAAAGCTTATAAAGAACTCTTTATGAACATCAATTATTGGCAGTATATTTTGTATCAAAATAACAAAATTTGGAGTCATAACTCACTTACATGCAGAAAAATCACTTTTAGATTAGAGTCAATTTTATTAATTTTGACAAAATATATTTCGAAATGAAAAATACATTCTGAATGCACGATAAAATTTCCTTTCGATTGAAATGTCACACAACGTGCTACCTATAATTGGTAAAAAATTATAAGCGTGCCAAATAGCCAGTATTTAGACTTATTTTATTGTTCTACAAATACGGCGCCGCGAACCTTCAGGGTGAGCGAGTAACTTCGCTCAGAGACGTCAGAGTTCAAAGAGTTAATAGGACCCTACAACTGGTCCCAGCCAATTATTATTATTCAAAATATGCCTTTTTGACACACTATCACAGCATAATTGGATTGCAAACGTCCTTACCAATAACAGTACAATGAGTGAACAATGGGTGCCTGACTACGAAAAGGTTATAATCGGTTCGTAATAATTTTTTCAAGATCTTTTAAATAGAATACAAGGGACACATCTCTGGAATATCAAAAGCACTAAAAAATAGCACCAGGCTATGTTATAGTACAGTGGTAAAATAAAAATATTAAATATAGAACCACAGTTGTTCTGTCTTCAACGTTATTCTAAACTTTCCCCTAAACTGGCAAAATCCTAAATCAATATATGTAGTGTTTTGGGTTGTTGGAATAGTTTATTTATAATAACCAAATATATGGCTTTAAAAAAACTAAAAAACATCTTAATCGAAACACAAAAACAGGCAACATTCACTGATGAGTATTGCCAAACTTAATTGAACCACTGTCTACTAATACTCGAAACAGCTAGAATCTAACAAAAAGATATCAAAATATCTCTTCTGAGGTTCTTTACGAGCCTCGAAAAAAGTTATCTCCACAATCGTCATCGTTTTTACCCAATCGCGCGCATTAACATAATATTTGCGCTAATCGTTTTCTGAAGTCTTTCGAATTAGCTATTGACTTTGCTTGACACAGACAAGAGTATTCCATCGAGATTACCTTGTCATTAATAAAAAATAATGTTTGAGTAATTTATATAATTGCCACGCAGACGTCACACACACGCCGGTACCATTACATTCACGCGACTCGCTGAACGAACTTCGATTCTAACTACACTTCGATTATTCACATTCACTAAAAGCTTCCATTAGGTTTCATAAGAAATTTCTTCAGTTCCGTGAATTATTCATACACTGAATTTAAAAAACAAGAAAATATTTATCGCAATAGCAAAGTTATTTTTATTTTCGATATGAAACAAATTATTACAGCAGTACATGCACAATAAATAAAATCAGTGTTACAGGGGTTTCAGAAAATATGAAAGTCTATAATAAACCAATAAAAACGTTAATAATGCTGAATAGAAATATTTAGCGCTAAGTAGGCGTTGTTTCCATACGTCGACGGATTTGATAAATATGACTCAAGAGGGGCAGTTTTGGATCGAAAAGACATTATTATTAAATGTAACCTAATTCTCAATGAAGCGATCACTTTTAAGTTTGCAAGTTCATAAAAAATTCAAATCTGTAGAAAATGACGTATTCACCCTTCAAAATTTTGTAAAAACTTGTAGAAGCGCTTGAGTTTTTTTTTACACTTTTATTGCTATTGGCCTTCGCTTGGAACAAATGACAGGCATATTTCGCCATCGCCTTGTTGCAGTTGGTAGGTTCATAAACAAAAATTATAACCTACAAATCTACCACAAAAACAGTTGAATATGATATTGAATATGCTACTGAGACAACACCACCTACTGAAGCTTAAACTAAAATATACCATAGTTCGGTCATCGATGATCTATTTTTTGCATTTCAGGTGGATCCAGAATGCCTTTCACTACAAACTTTTCACCATCGTTCTCCCACAATTGACCTTTATCAGCCATATACCAACATTCTACATCTCTGTCCAGATTATAGTCTCTCAGCGTATGATAGGAAACTTCAATTGGATTGTGCCTGTTATAAATTAAAAATTAGAAACACATTTTGTGTGGTGTCCAATAATTTGTGTATAATTTTGTCCGAGACCGAAAATGCTTTATGCATGGTGAGAAATTATTGTCAAGTGAGAAATCTATTTGTTCTAGAGATAAATTTCCCCCTAGTTAGCGCTGGGAATGGTTAACCGGTTAACCGATTTTAGATGGTTAACGGTTACGATTTATTTTAACCGTTAACTGACATCTCAGGTATAAATCATCTTTATAATGTACAATTTCTTCAGGAATGATTACTCCATCGCAAATTTATTTATTGTAGCGTTTAATGTGAAAAAATATCACTAACTGTATTTGTGAAGACCAAATGAAGGTGAAAAATAATTGAAGTACCAAGATCGCTGATTATGAAAATTTGACAATGATAAATTCATAATCAGTTTTCGGTAAAAGCATATTCTTTGGTAAAAATATATTGTTTTCTTGCAAAATCGTCTATTCAATGTGCGCAGTTGATGCTGTTGTTTTTTTCAGATATCTCAAAAAAGAATTTGCGCATTGGGCACTGTAAATTTGTCACATAAATGACATTGAATAATGGAAACTGTTTCACTTAAATACTTCCATATGTCCGAAGCACGCTGCATATCTCTTGCAGCAAAAGGATCACGAAACGAACCAGATTCGTCAATAATTTTGAGAGATACCAGGATAAGATCACTCGAAATTAATTTGTAACCATTGTGACGTGATAAGCTAAAATACCAAATTATTACGTCAAACGTAACGTAATTTCCCCCGGTTAACAGTTAAAGTGTTTTCCCTGAAATTCCCAGTCCTACCCCTAGTATTTGCATGTAGCAGTACTAATATTTTACTTATTTAGTATTAACGCAATGCAGACGTATGCATACATAACAAGTCATTGAACATGTACAAAAGACAAAGTACAAGTTGCATTTATTATACAAGCAAATGTTCCGCTAAAGATGGATAACAAATGAGATTAAAATATTTTTTACGAAAACATTTTGATCATTGGAAGCAAAATTATCATGTAGCAATATTCCGTTATAATAAAGTCGATGAGAAGCTGAGGAAGTCTGACTTTGGTAGAACGAAACGTTACAGAAATACATTTATATTAGTGGGCAGCAGGACTCTTGAATTGGATAGTAAGTCATATTTATACCTGCTACAGCATCAATGCTGTATACGCATACGGATCCACTAGCATAAAGTCATAGAGGAAGGATAAAGAGTTAGTCTCGAGCAACACAATTCAAAGTTTCTTTTTGTTGTTGTTCTTTATAGGTAGCATCGTTGAATATATTCTGATTTAATAACATTGATCTGTGATATAGTGGGTTCATAAAAGTAACACTAACATACCTGTACCACAACACTGCTGTTTTGCCGTCCGATCTAAAATCTATGCTTGCCGGTACTTTCGCTTTTGTTTTAAACCTGGAAAATTGTCCCAAAACACCAACCGCATTCTCTGTCAAACCATCTCCTCTAAGAACTGCGAAATCTAGATGATCTCTCACAAATTTGCTTTTTGAGTTTATTCTGCTGATCACCTGTAATTCAATAATGAGCTGAAAGTGCGAAGTTGAATAATTTGGATAACCATTTCCGGTAATGTAACGAAAGATAAAAATGTTTAGTCGAGTCTTGAAATCAAATGAGCCACATTTTCGTACGATGTTACCATTGAATCACCCCAGATATCTGTACTTCCATGGAACTAATTGAAACAATTAGCCTATATTTTATTTAGTGATAAGATTACAAATTTTGAGAACGGGTCATTTTTTGTATCGAACTCACTAGCAACAAGTTCTTTCATTTCGGAAACCATACCCAACTTATAGCTCTCAAAGGCAAGATTGAGTTTGATAATGATCACGGAATTCAAAGAATGAATTTGCACGAAACCAGCAAACCCCACGAATCTTGCCACTAATTTATCCCGGGACAAATTTTTACCGGAAGAATTTATCAATATAGAAGAACAGATGAGTTTTGTGAAAGGACAGTAGTTGAAACGCAGAAACTATTTGACAAACTTAGTTGATAGTGGGTCATTGCATTGATAGCCCGGCAAATTACCCTATTACAAATATAATTATAAACTCACTCTGAAAACGACTTTTCTCTTTATATGGACGAAAAGAGTTGATCTGAACTTTGTAACTGGATTCACTTTTAATACAACACCTTTGTAACGTGTTGTTCCGTATTTTCCGAACACTAACGATTTTCTGACACCTTCAGCCGTCCGAAATACAGCTTCTTTCGAAGTTATCTGCATTACAAATATGGCGTAAGCGTCTGGTCATCAGAAATTAGGTGAAAAAATGAGCAAGTTAGGAGAAAGACAATATTCATATTTTATGTTAAAACCAAACTTCCCATTTAACAAATGAGGTACCGATACGAATTGTAGGAATATATAGCTTTATTCAATTAATATTTTACTCAAACATATCGGATTAAGATTTATTTGCGAATAATCAGACCAACTCACAACTATGGTCATGTTCAGCTCATGTATGTTGATTCCAATCTTGTTTACGTACGTACGACTCGATCGAACGCTTTTGCCTGGGGCCTTTGATGTGACAAGTTTTCCGTTCACTGTAATACCTTTTTCTTGGTCGTGAAGGAGGCTAATTGTCTGTGATGAATAATTAAAAAAAGGAAGGTAAAATATGGACCCATGGATGGTTTTGCAATTTTTTTGCTGTTTCTAGAGATATATATAAAGGATGTTTGTTTCGTGAAGAATTGCTATTCTGTGAAACTTATAAAACAATCCATTTTAAATTTTTAAAACATATCGATGGAGGAAGTGCTGTAACGTTATTCACATTTTTTCTGACTCAAGGATTCGGTTACTTCACCCATAATTTTGCAGTTTGCTTGCGCACATTAATATGACATTCGAAACATTTTTTTTTAAATTTCATCTGGTATTGTGCTGACATTAAGTAACCATATTAGCCATCTAACCTCCTAAAATTCTGGACTTCGTGTCCGTTTATTTACTAATTACTTTCCAGTCAATAATGTTATAAATAATTCTATCGATTCCGGACCACTTACTTGTCCATCTTGTCCTTCCCAGTTAAAACACAAAGTAATCTGTTCTTCAATATCAATAACAAAATGGGGATCTCCAAAAAATAATAAGCTAGGTCGCGAAGCGGTAAAAGGAATAATCGTTGAAAACGGAATTCGTCCGAACGCTGGAGTTACAACGGATCCTTCAGGTACGCTTCTAGTTGTAATAGGAATGGTGGTTGGAACAGGTGTTGTAGATGCCTCTTGAAGTCGTTGTGTTTCTTCCTCAATTTCAGAAGCGATTGTATCGTCAACTTCTTTTAGATTGCCTGGTTTGGAAACTACCAATGTGGTATAATCGTTTACCACAAAACTGTTTCTGTGTAAACAATATGTATAAAGAGTGATGAGATTTAAATTTTAAAAACAGGTTCTTTTTTTGGTATCGAACTCATTCACAACAGGATCACTCATTTTATAGTTCTGTATCAATACAAGATCATAACATAGGTTTACATAATAAGAACAACTGAAACGTCATTTGACACTACGAAAACTACATTTACATCGAACGCTTCCTATAAGTCGAATACAAAACACCAAATATAATGCTTACGACCATTTCCTGCGTCTAAGGCCTAAAACAAAACCACAACAAAAACAAGAATTGGTTATCACAGCATTCTAAAACGGAATCCCATCACTTTTCAGTTTATTTTCTCTTGAGTGCACGGAAAGTGCCAGTATTCTTGCAATATCACGTTTGTATAAGAGGTCTTTCGGTTTGAGCTTAAGTTATTGCAAATGTGTAAAGCAAATTTGGCAATAATCCCAGACCGATTTGATATTTTCCAACTAGTTTTAAACCCAAAATCACAAACATAAGGGCATGATGTTTAAATTTTTAATGTTGGTGTCGTTATTCAAGTTAAACTTTTCTGAGTATAGGCTTGTGTGATAGCTCAAGTTAGAGTATGGATTGAGTCACCCTACATTGTAGCATATTTCATAATTTCAGAATTCGACAGTTTTCGCGCCTGAAAAATTGACCCTGCTGACTTGTTAGTTGAATATTTTCATCATTTGCTCAATAACTGGACAATGCGGGAAACTTACTCTCTTGATATATTAGTTACTTTTTCTTTCAACTCATCAAGTTTCGTAGGATCGGTTTCGTTCTCCAATTCTTTTAGAGTTTCTACGAGTTTCAGGTAGTTTTCTTGTCTCTCGATTAAATCTTGCAACTAAAATAAATCATAAATCACCATTAAGATCATGAACATAAAGTATACCCGGAGTTAGCATGAATAAAGCTTTACTACTTATATTTTTTACGGTTATCAATTTCATTATTATCAATGTAAAATTATGAGATAACACGGAGAAAACCGGACTGAATCATGTCAATGCAAAATACGAGAATATCGGTCGGAGACCGAAGACTTATCGATCGAAGGTTAGGGGATCCCCCAAAACAGCGCTCTTACTCACTAGTGACACCGTGTGTCCTATCACTAATTGAATAATAACTCGCTAATTATACGGCATAATTCATCGGAAATCAATAGGCTTCTGATCCAAGCTATGATGAATGCACATGCAAAATTTGGAGCAGATTCAACCTCGCTTTCGTGAAATATCGCGTGCATCTAACAGACAGACAAACAGACAAATACCTATCAACATACTTACCAATTATAATCGGTAAAAAGTGATAACCTGGTTTAGAGTGAAAGACACGAATAAATTCCGTGTAAACTATTAATAAAAGATGGATCACCTCATCCTCATTTTCATCGCAAGTGGGGAAAAGACTTTCTTCCAAGTAGACGTCTTCACCATCGGTTTTTGCTGAATATGAATTTTTAGCTTTTATATTATTTTGTGTACAATAAGATTTTTTGATTCACTCCTGCAAAATATATATCCTGTATCGCAAGCCAGATATACTATTTTGGTAACGAGTGCAAATCTTGTTTTTCATCTGGATCAATCTTTATACTGTTTGTTAATTATTTAAATATCTTGAACTTTTTGACGAAATTTAGTTTAGAAAACACGTTCTAGTATACATTGTGAACAACATGAAACAAATGTGTATTTAATTTCGAAAATATTCAGTGCTTATTCAGAATAGCAGCCGATTGCATTGTTAACATATTTAAGATATTTCGTGATATCATCCAATACAACAATTTGACCTCGTAATTTATAACAATCAAAAAATTTTGACAGGGTGTTTCGAATATTGCATAGCACACATGGCACACTCGCCCCACTAATACCACTTTTCAATTGTACGAATCATGCTTCATAGACTTGCTCTAACCGTTAGCCTAACGTATGATATCTATTCCAATCTAGAACATACCATTGATCCCACTTCTCGTGCTTACTCTAACTATTTGCCAAAATTTTCAAATCTATCCTACACCAGATACAAGTGGTACGTGTGTGGTACAGGTGGGATACGACGTTTTTAGGGTAGCAAAAAGTGATATTCTCCCAAATGATGCACTCACCAGAAAATGTCACGTCGACTTCATCGTCTTCTCCTGTGGCGTCTGTTTTAATCACACAGATAGGAGTATCCGCAAATTCACCAGCTACGACGATTTCTGTTCCTTTCTGATATTGTTGAAAATTTAGTGCAGTTGTTGGTATAAGCTGTAATGCAGTACAGACGGGTAAAAAGATGACGTCTTTAGCATTTAATGATTAATAATAATAAAATATAAAATAATATGTATAAATGTATAAAATAATGTTATTAAAAGCATTGACTCACTCGTCCACTTGGGTAACGAATCTGAACCTCGCGTAGAACTGGATATGCGATTGTTTTGAAGAAATTATTAATCTAAAAATAGAAGGTTTGTACGTTAATTAAATATTTTATTCACACCTCATGTAATTAACAATTTAATTGTGATCGCAATGTAACAAGTAATAATATTTAGAAAAGAAAATAAAATTATTTTCATGGTTCATAATATACATAAAACAAATCCATAAAATCACTGTCATCAAAGTGTTACATTATTATAATGGCATTTCTTCTTAGTAGGATTCGATTTCCCCCGCTTGAAAGTATTGACTTTAATAGCTATCTACTGATATCTATCTATATGTGGCTCTTGGTACATCAGTAGTTGTTTTCAATTCTTCTCTCACTACTCTCACGTTTTTTATTTGAGTGGTCGACTACTTTCTTCGAAGTTTAAAATGCTTAATGAAATGTTTAAGAAACTATATATCCACGAAGAGGAATCAAGGGGCTTCGTTTCAAAATATCCATATCTGTCTTACCTGTACATTAGCATCAATATCTTCATGTATTTGAATGAATGTTCCCTGGTTTTTATGGGCGATCGATGATAATACTTTGGAATTGGCCATTGCGCCATAACCAGTAATATGAATGCCAAATTTATTGCTGTAAATAAATGAAAGGCATAAATTTATTTTGTTCTATTTAACCCAATTGCTGAACATTTCTGAACGCTTTATCTATTGCAAAGTAATAGTTGTTATTGAAGAACGGCAGATAATCCTTCGTTTTCAAACAATTTTACACAATGTGGACAAATTGTTTCCATGTTCATATTAATGATAAAATCATCGTGATTTCGTTTTAATAAGCTTGGCGGTTTGTTGTTGTAAAATTGAGAAAACAGATTTATTCTGTTTCAGTATTGTTGACGCAACGTGTTGTACCAATATACTGTATATAGGCGAAAATGTTATTGGAATATCCGGCTAGCCATATTGCTTAGTTTAAAAAAGTAGGCAGACATCTTATGTAAAAATTCATGAAATTGCCTTCTGGTTATTTTAATGTTTATTCGTGCCCACCACTTCTTCCAGTGTCGGCTACATCAAAACAGCTGCTTGTTTTAGTGTCCACGAAAAACATAACAGGTCCGAACTATTCGATTTGATGCTTATTTATTTAATATTTAATACCTGTTAAAACTTGTTATCGTACTGATCACAGTATCTGTACCGATTTCTTCTTGTTGAGATCGACCGCCATCCGTCAAAACAAAAACATAATCAGTTGAAAAGTGCGAATTTATGTCTTCATCTAAAATATGAATAACATAATGTTACTTGCCAAAGTGGAAGAATAAATAAAAGGTATAAATGTACATAATAGTTAATAATAATTTCCAATGGTCAATTTGGTTACAATATAGAGATGTAGCGACATTTTCTATCGTATGTGCCGCTGAAAATACAGTCTATGCTGACCCCACAAGTAGGCATGCCAGTACCTACTTGTCTTGCTGCACAAGGAAAGATCTCGAATCACATAAATTGGTCCTTTTTACCCTTGCTACAGCATCCTTACATTATACGAATCCATTAGCGCAAAAGCATTCACAAAAATGCTGGTTAGGCTTGCATAGCCTCTATTGATGGTTGTATGAATTATATAGCTCAATATAAATATTAATAATTATTAAATCCAATATTTTTAACATTTTTCATTAAAATACAACTGAAAAATCTGTTTAAATAATTTTATGAGATGGATCAATCGTTAACGGTCAGTACTCATACATACCTTCAACATATCCATCAATAACATTTATAGCTGCTTCGAGTCCTTTCAGTAAATCCGTTCCTGCCTGAGCTGTAACGGAATTCAAAAATCGTTTGGCCGCAGCGATGTTTGCGGCAGTTGCTTTTACCATGATGCTACGACTATCTTCACCAGGATGTGGATCCCAACTTTGTACTTTTGAGTTGAACATTAAAATTGCAAAAGAATCCTGTGAAAAACATTGAACTGGTGATTACTATAGCAAAAAATGTGGCCTATCGTCACGCTAATAACCGAATTGCGTAAGTCATTTTTAGCAGTTTTGAGAAAAACGTAAAAAACTTCCTAATGATTTTGTTATGCAATTGAGAGTCAATAATTTGCCATGGTTCAATTTTTTGATCGTAGCCGGATTTAAGTTAATTTGTATGACGCAGTTAAGTGACGTCATAATGGCGCACTATGACTTAGGCAGAAATGTGTCTATGACTTGGTGACATACGCAATTTGCAACTTCACTATATGCACCAGTCCTGAAAACTAAACATTCCAAAAACGAATGTAATTCTCAGTATCTACAATGTCTAATCCCCAAAATAGCTAATCAGTTTCAATTAAATCATTTTTTATTTTTAAAAATATATATTTCATCAATATAACACGTTCTGCACACCCACCGAAATAGGACTAAGATTAAATATAAAGAATAAAACAGCAATGCACCCAATATAAAAGCCAACCAAGGTAAATTTGACTCGGACAGTGAATATCACAAGTGTACGTCTTCCTACACTGTAGTAAAAATTCAAATTAATACGCGCTAAGCTAGAATCCGAGATGCAAAAACTCGAAAATACTTCGCCGAGGTTATTTTGCCTTTGTGACGTCACAATAGTACTGCGGTAACAAGGATAATTCATTATGACGAAACAATCGCACAAATGTGCATGTCATACTAAATCTCCATTTTTATGGGTTTCGGAATTCTTAAAATAAAATCTGAGTTAACAGACAGGTGCGCAGCATTACATAAATACCTATTTTATAAAAAACTCAAAATCGTCAAAAATGACTTACGCAATTCGGTTATTAGCGTGACGATATGTAGTTTGTTTTATTCATCAGTCAGATGAAATTCATTTCAACCGAAAACTAGGAAATCCATCTTCATGAAATGAAATAAAACGTATTCCAATATCAAGCACTACATTCGTATGTAACGAGTTACGTATTACACATTATTATAACATCATCGAATGTGGAACCGTCAATGAGAAACTTGGAAGGTTATCGAGTATTGTTTATGGTCTGTGGTTTTTGTTGATTTTTTGTCGTTCTCAGAACGACTTCAACGGGGCTCTAACCTACTTCGGTATGAGAAATGACTTGGTAATCTTATAGCGATGATCGACTTGGAACTTTGTCTAAACCTTAATTATTAAATTGAGTTTTACGACAGATAGAAAAAATTTCTGTGAGCTTCGTAATTGCAAACTCTTTGAGAATGAATAGTACGTAATAATTTATTCCTCCTTTCAATTGACTTACTTCAGAATTTAATTCATCAAGAATTTTGTTCATGCCTTTTTTCATGTGCATCAATTTTCTTCCAAACATCGATCCGGAATTATCCAACAAAAATACTACTCTCTTGTTCATTGGTTCATATTTAGGTACGAAGAAATGGAGAAAATTCCTGAAAATATGTAAAAACTGCATAACTTCCCTAATACACGCGTTTTAATGCAATTTAAAAACTTTAATTTTAATTAATATACAAATATATATAAATAATAATAAAAATTGTTTAAATATGAATAAGTTATTGACATTATTTTTGAGTTTGGTTAAATTCATCGACACAAGCAAAGATTTTTATCCAGATTACTAAGCCAGCATTGACCAAACCTTTTACGCTGGTAAGTAGGTAAGTAGGCAAGAGATTTTTGTACAGATGGTGCATAAGGTGCCATTGTACAAATTGTGCCCTTCTTCACACGAAAGACAACGGCCACACTCAAAGTACCCAACTTTACTAAGAACGATAATAACTGGTTATGATGGATAATTTTTTGGTATAATTAATATGTATGTGTTATTATGCGGTAAAAAATTATTTTTCAAGCATATAACTTTTAGGAAGATTTTTAGTTGTAGCAATGCATATTATCATTTACATCGTAATGTATTTGAAATGTATTGACCTGAAATGTATTGACATAATTCCGCATACTCTTAAATTCACACTTACTGATCGAACGCAACCATTTCACTAATTTTATCTCCTGGCCGAACAAGATCATATTGAATAGCAAATTTTCCATTCAGTCCGTTTGGTGATAAAAGTGTTTGTTGTTCCATCGTAGGCGAGAACGTTATCTTGGCTGAATTTCTAAATTATGGAACAGAAATATGAATTCTCAAACAAAAAGAAAGTTGCAAATTGTTACTGTAATCATCACTATTGGAATAGGGTACTCGATTTACATATATCTGATACATAACTTCCAAAATACTGAATATAACGCTAGTTGTCAGCTGTGATGTACGTTACCTATTTACTGCAGTAGTCTAACGTCTAAAACCAAAAATGGGTTGAGGTTCAGGACATTCAAAGTACGGGTTTGCACGGGTTCGTCACGAATCCCACACCTGGATGCATTGCCGTGTTGAAATTACTAGTATGTGGAGGCAATGTTTATTTTTCGGTTGTCAACAAATGTAACTTGCAGGTGACCACTCAAATAGGCAATGAATCAGTATAGTATATAAGAGTAAACTCGTTACCCTGATTCAGAAATCTTTGTTCCTTTCAAATGAATTCCCTTGGACAAACTGCTTTGTTCTGTGCGGAAATTCAAAACTTTAAGATCACTTAAAGGCAAACTTTCCCAAATATTAATTTCAATATCAAACGACTTGACGGCTTGTCCAGGCTGCACATTGATTTCGTGATGATATCTATGATTGAGAATTGATATTAAGTGAGATACCCAGTCGATATGGTACCTAATTTCAAAAGGAGCATACGTGCCCAAATGTCTTTCGAGTAAATGATAGAGCAATGCTTAAGTATATGAGTGCAAAGGTTAAATGGTTAATTAACTGCAGACAAGTCTAGGGGACATACATATAAATCTGTTGTCTAATCATCCAAATAAGATTGGATTTCCATATTTATCCCAAGAAAAGCCGATAAGACGACCTAATCATATGGTTTACCACGGCCTCTCGTCCGGTTGCCAGTCCATGTCAAGTATGGGATTAGTTAAACCAGTTATTTATTTCAGATGCATGAATGTGAGGGTGGAGAAAACCGTAACCGACCAGTAGTTACGTCAACAAACAAAATGCTTCATATCTACATAACAAGTCAGATCCTACGACGTAGCAATTCACATTGATATTGGTGAACATGGGTTTGTCGAAAAGATGGCGGCCTGGTGGTATGTCATGTGATGGCGCAATAGGCTCAAAAATAGTAATATTTGGGACAAAATATCGTGGGCCATCAGATTCACAGAGAAATAAGGATAGGCTCTTATGGACTTCTTCCGTCTCCGAGGGCAAATTTAGTGTCAATTAATCCATTAGTTGCATTGAAAAAAAGCGAGTTTTACAACAACAAGAACGATAGCACAATATTTTGCTAAACCATCCTTGACTTTACCTTCCAACCGATCGGACTAAAGGTTGTTGATATTTGATTTGATAAACAACGTCTTCGTCTCCTCGCAAATTTAGTGAAGTTTGAAATATTTTTGAACCCTCATCTTGAGAAGACAAATGTCCAAAAGAAAGACCTTCGCGCTGTAACACAGATAATTTATTAATTTAAAAGATTTTATCATGATATAAAAAAATTGATATTCTCAATGTTACTCATTCCAGGAAAAAATGTCAATTTAAAATGGCAAAATTTGCTTAAAACGCATTAGTGCGCAGCAATTACTTTTGGACACATGCACTTGAACAGGCCAAGCCTAAACATTATTTAATACAAAGCCTCAGTGAAACATTTAAATCGAAATATGCAACAATTTGGTTGATCCCTATTTTTTCAAAAAAAAAATATTTACTTTTACATATGAGTGTAAAATATTTTAGCAGTCAGAGAATATAAAGAACTTGATTTAATTTTAAGCTATTCGATATTTTATAACATTTCAGACTTGAATATTACTCATTATATTTTCCTATCTTTTACATATAAAACAATAAAATAAAAATTGACAAAATTATGTTTATGAACCGACCTTTCCAATTTCGTAAAACGTTTTTGCTTCTCCTAATTGCTTGATTTCTCCTGAAAATGTATCTCCGTCAACAGTCATGGTAAAATCAGTTATAAATGCATTTGGTGGAATTACAATAGAAAATACAGATTCTTTTGATACCCAACCACTAAAATAGAAAAAATTATTCAACATTGTATATATTGTATATTATAAGTTTATTAATTATATATGTTTGAATTACTTTTAATTTCCACAAAAACGTGAAAGCTGAAAATTTTATATAGTTTTAAAAATATACCTAGGTCTATGTGTAATATATATCCAAATATTGTGTTTTGAATAATAAGTAAAAAAAGCATGAAGTTCACAAGAAGATTTTCTCAAAGAAAAGTTACGCACACCCACTCAGAAGTAATCGAGGTCTTCTGCTAACAATTTACGACCAACAACTAAAACGTCAAGAGCATCTACTAATATTATTATAAACAACTATAATTGAAAGTACAAACGTTGAATTACTTGAAACGCATCTGCATTACAACGCTCATGAGTATTTCTATCCATTTATCCGTAATCTTACAACAGCGTTTCTTCAATTTCAAAATATTAGGCATGCATAAATAATAGCGTTCTTCCCTTTCCGATGTTAAATACCACCCATTGTAATAGTTCGTTTAGAAACATTAACTATATCACAATGTAATCAATACGTAGTTTAATTTCATCGATCTATAAACACGAGATCTTGTTCATAGTACGTTGCAACACTATGCGGTAAACTACAAAATAATCGCTTCGTATTTCGTGTTAAAGGGTTCAAATTGATCAGATGAAAACCGATCCAAGGATCAGCTTTCTACCGAACTCGATTAATAGGCCATAAATATGTCCGCAAACCCTCGATAACTCTATAATTCACCACAGTAGTAGTTTTATAGTAAAAAATGTTCTACATTACAGTGATATTTGTGTGTAAATTTCTGATGCGTCATCCATGAATTATTTTGTTTTATCTTATTAGAATTTGTTCAAAACAAGGTCAAAGTAGACTGATGTCTGACCAGAGCAATTACTGGAAAAACTTGATCTATTCAAACTTTAGACTTAAACTTGGATTTATGGTGTAAAATCTCACTTCATGGGAGAGTTGCAGCAGTTGAAGTCATTAAGATTAAACATTTGATCATGGATACTATAGATACTAATATCACACATCACATTGTAGTGCAGATTTCAAGAGATTTCATTCAATAGAGTTCAATACTTTTAATGTCAGAAAAATGATCAATTTTAACTGCTTTTTAAAGACAAAAGGTTGAATGTTTTTGCAAAATTTCATTGAAAAAGTTATGAAAAATAAATTTATTTTACTGGTTTTATACTTAAAGTTTGAAGCGATATTCACGATATTTCAATGAAAACCTATATGAATTTAGTAGTCAAAAATATATGTGTTACTAATTTTCTCAAAAAAATTTTTTGTTTGTTTTAAGTTTCGTCCTTTTTGGATTTATGCCCAAGTCATTTTAATTTGTTTTCATTACACGATTCCTCAATTGAATCAAGAAAGTTGAGAATCATTTCAGTGGCGAATCGTTACTATTAGATGGATTTACCCACATTCGAATGACTAACCATCATTTTTGTTTAATTTTTTTATAGATACTGAATATATACTCACTCGTTGACAAATTTGCTTTGTACAATAGTCTCTGCAAACCTAGTGTTGATGTTACTTGTGATTTTAAATGATTCCATAGCTGGAGCTTGTTTTGCTGAAACCGCCAATAAACATTCTTTGTAGACTAATACGCCATTTTGGTCTTTCACTGAAAGAAAATGTGAAACATATTATGTGGTACAAGACTTCGAAGCATTCGAATACAGCCGTTTTTTATTTTGTTAGAGTAGCAGCCTGTGATCGCCGAACTTGAAGTCAGGCAGAAAAGAGAACTTGCTTGCTGCAAGCTTTATTCAAAATAGCATTTATGAAAGTTACTAATTTTCTCTGTCAAATGGGGGTAAATAAAGCAATTCAAGCAAGAAGTAACAGAATAATTCAAAATTAATTATCTGTGAAATTATAAGAATAAAAATACCAATTTATCTAGACTTAGAAATAGGCAGGTAATCTCGCGTTTTTCTTCATCAAACGTTTGTATGCATTATATGGCAATGTCATCAGATCATCGGTTCTTTCAAACCAGTGTTTATTTCCGCAACAGTATAGAATGACATAGGTGAAGTTCTTTTTATGGTTTCAAATACATCTTTTAAAATTTGTATTTACGACTTGATTCTGTGTCCGCATTGATGGTTTCATGTAAAAGGGCGCGAAATTTGCGCAGGACATTACACAAATTCCAGAACACGTCCACGTTATTTTGTATTGAAATGCCATTGTGGGTATTTCTCAATATAAATATCGGTACTGCAGTATTTATGATAGAAAAGACAACTGCTTCATTGTGGCATCCAATTTTAAAATGTTTTAAGGTCAATCTGCCGTAACTATTTTACGCGTTGCTCGCTTTAGTTAAATTATTTCCCAAAATACAATTTTCTGCGAAAAGTTGTATGACCAAAAACGCGTAATTTTATGCGTTAAATGCAAAAATTTTCTGCATCAGCAAAAAACGTTACCTGTAACAGTTACTTTCGATACCGATCCGGTTTTGCATCTCTTGGTGTTCGCAATCTCAGAAAAAATTTCGCGTCTCCTCCGCCTGTAACAATATTCTTGACTGAGAAACAGACGTTATAAATTTTTCGCCATCTACTGCATTTACTGTATAATAGACAGCTTCCTTTCCAACATTTCTGATAGTTATGGCTACTTGGGCGGGAGAACCAGGTCTAAAATATAAAAAAAAATATACACAAACCAATACAGTTCTTTTTTTCTACCGGAATAAACTAGTCACCAATAATTAAAAACGTATAATTTACCTCAAAACAAGTTTATCCAGTGCCGAACAATCGATTTCAACATTTACAAATTGTATTGATTGTTGAGCGAGTCGTCTAAATTGAAATCCTCCCGCATCTATTCCACTCACATATGCAAGTAACTTTCGATCAGCAAATGATTCGAGTTTGACACGGAAGTGTCTCTTTTTCCCATCTGGTACTCTGAATGTGGTATTGATAGAGAGTTAGAAAAATGTGAGAGTTATTGTTTTATGTTCTTCGAAAAGTGTTTACTTTGTTCCACTGTTACTACTAAATGACTAAGTGGTCAAGCTCTTAGTCTCTTCGTATATACGGTTTCTGCTCTCATTGTCTTTTCCCAAATTGTTGGCATGTTGTTTCTACTACAAATATCACTCATTTTGAGAAGATGAGGCCACTACTCAGATAATCTGTTAATCTCTGAGTGAGTGCTCACCAACTAGTGTAATGCTTACTTTACCATTAAAAGTTTGATAGTCACATACTTGAAACTTACTTGGGTGTTTTTTAAGAATACTGAAAGCATATAAAAATAATCCACTCTTCATAACTTTGTGATTTTTATATTAAATAAATTAGCATTGCAATGGTGATCTATCCTCATCTGAGTACAAAAAGTTCAAAGAATTCACTGGTACTTGAATTCAGTTAGACATTGAAGAAACGAAGTAAAATCAATTTCTGTGCAACTCACCTGAAAGAGTATACGGATTCACCGGTCTTTACATCAACAAATGAAACTGTTCTAACAACATCGTCAGTGTTCAGTCCATACATATCGCCAGAACAACAACTTTTTCAGTTGATACTGGTTGATCTGATTAAATAAAATGGAGACGTTAATGGAGGTTGATATTGCTTGGTAGTAGTTCCCTAACTAATATTGCAAAAACATCAAGATCATTGAGACAATTTGAATAATGTTTATATCAGGAACATATATATATTTGAGAATAACATTTCAAGATTAAGATGTAGATATTCATTTATATTCATCATGGAATTGTTATATCTACGACAGATCACCAAATTTTTCCGTGCAATCTTGAAAAATTACTTGAGATATTTAATAATAAATCTGTTGATACACACCACTGACCCATTGCAAACTATCTTTATTTTTTGGCCAAGTAAATATGTGAAGAAAAGTTCGTCTTACTAAATTTTTCAAATGAATTATCGCAAAAATTGATTTATACACATATCCAGGAACCAACGTCTCATAAAAATCTCTAATGAATTTTTTCACAAATAATAATAAATACAAATATAATTATCATATTATAATAAGCATATATTTTCTTTTCATACAAGAGGTTGAAAAAATATATAAATTCTATTTTTAGTGTCTTGTAACAGCAAAATCCACGTTAACAATAATGAATTTACTACAATGTATAACTTTCAAACATTGGGTCGTTGTCACATTTCCAATTTCTTTTGCTAAAGATTGAACAAAACTTTTTGTACTCTTTCCTGTTACCTGTATAATTTTAGGAATATTTTTTTAATTTGGCATAAATATGAATTATTTTCTATAATTTAAAATATTAGCTCAAACGCGTTTCATTTTGTATACTCCATGTTTAGAAATTAGGCGTGAAAAATTAGGATAAAAATTAATTTTATACCTTCACTCTACATATTCCAGTAGTTTTAACATTGAGTCTATACTTTCCATATTTTGTCACGTTGATGCTTCCAATAAACAATTCTGCTACTTTAATAGATCTCTATAAATAAGAAAAATGTAGATACATTTTGCAAATAAACAGTCACTACTCAAACAATAAGATTTAACCTAAAAATGGATGCTTAATAGAGAATGTAGCGATTCACAAGTTGTTTTGTGAGATTTATGAGAAATTTTTTGCAAGAATTTGGGAATTGAAAATGTCACATAACAATACCATTGGATATAGCTTCGAACGGACGGGTCTTCTGGCCATGGATTGTTTTTGAGTTTGATTCTCTCTAAAACTGACAAAACAATTGCAAATGATTCAATCTCGTTTTTTTTTTTTTAATTGTGGATCAATCTACTTGTTGAGATTCTGTTCAATTCATCATACCGTGCAATCAATTTCATTTTGAACTTTTATTAATTAATTTGAATCGTTCAACCTAACAGTAATTATTGTTTTAATTCAATCTTCCGTGTGCAAGTGCATTATTCAGATACCTCAAATTGTATTTGCGCTCCATTAGAACGTAATTTCACAGTATCGCATGCTCCTGTTGCTTCAACATATAGTTCTCTCAGACCAGAATCAACAAAAAGCTCAAATCCGGAATCGCCGTCTGAAATTTTTCAAATTATTTTTTATCAGATAAAATGCTTTTACCTACTGTTTATGTTTTTGAATGTAATCAATTTATGTATTTAAACAATTTGTTTTGTGTTGGCAAATGGTCGTACAAACTAAATATCTCGATTTACAGAAATTGGCTCAACAGTTGTCAGAAATGCAATTTTAAATTAATTTTAAAATAATACAGCCAATAGGCCAATTTTTTTTCTATAAACAGTCGGAATTTTTTTTTCATTTCTTTGTTCCACGAGCGTTTAATCCATCCATGTGTAGTACATTTTAACTAATTGTAACTTATTTATAAGCCACTTGAATAAATTTACCTCAAATTAGGTTAACAACTTTTCTCGTATTTCCAGTTTTAGATCAATAAAAATAGATTTAACACGTCAGATATTCAATTCTCAATTTAATTTTAGCAACCGCTTTTGGTCATAATTACTTAAAATTTCTTTTTAACTAAAACCACAATAAATAAGTTAAAAAAATTATCAGAAATATAACATAAAATGTAAAAATACCAATTATGGAAAATTCTCCATCTTTCCTACCTAATTTAAACGTAATGACATTCCTTAGAGTAGTATTTTGTGGACTTTGGTTTCCTTCTAACCACTAAGACTAAGATATTACACCCAAATATTGGTCGTATAATACATAGGTTACTTGATATTATAATTACTATAAACTTGAATATTATGGGTAACAAAGTAATGAATAAAATTTCTAGCGTTAATGATACGCTAAATGTTATTAAAAATATAATACCAGCAAATATAATTTCCGATGAAAAAATAAATACATAAAAGACTGGGAACGACCAAATTTTACTGTCGCTAAAAAAACGAAATTTTTATTCAACTATTCTTTTTAAATTCTAAGATATCATCTCATTTAGTTGATTAGTTGTTTTCTCGAAAACTTTTGAAAAAATATTTGATTCAAAAGCAGGTAAGATAAAAACTGAAAAATCGTTATGATTCGAGTTGCAAAACCGGTTCGATTAGTTATTCTTCAGTGAAATGAACCGATTGTATTTTTTAAACTAAAAATACTAATTTTGAATAAAATTATGGAAATAATTCAGTTATTTTAGTTTTCTGGTATTGTTGTCTTGTAGTAAAAGCTTAGTAAGTTGATTCATTTTTGGAATGAAGGAAAAAAACTATGGTCAGTGAATTTTCATAAATACTTTTATGACTTTTTTATATTATAATCGGCATAATTTTTCAGACATTTGAAGATAATTGAGGAAGGGTAACAATTTTTTGCAAAATCACCAATATTTTTTACAATTACTCAAAAACGTTACAAAAGTTACTGTAACATTCATAACACCACATTTTCTGTAATATGTTTACATTACTAACTGGTTATGGTTCTTCGTTCCAAATTGACTATCCCATGCTGCAGGGCTACGTCTAGAAGACCGGTTGATTTGAAAATATCTTTTCTGCGAACAACTAATACTTCGCCTCCAGTACTATTGGCCAGATGTTGATATAACTCGAAGCCAAGCTTGAGTGACGGATCTCGGCAGGCAGCCAATCGCCTTGTCCTGCGGGCATAATTTTTTAGTCAATTATAAGCTCTTTTAAAAATATTTTAATTTTGGGATAAATGTGATGACGAAATTCCAATGGGTGGTGTCGTAACGATAATAATGAGTCAAAACGAGTTGAAATTTGGGGAAAAGAGAGTCAGCAAAAACACGATTTCCATCAGTTTTTTTGTAATTAATACCGTAAAAACTTAATATATCAGTAGCATAACTTCCCTTCATTTTATCAAAGTATCTTTCTATAAAGTACCATATTCAAAGACAGCCAGAGCAAATAATTCTTATTGCGCGCATTTGTAAAATTTCTAAAATTTACAACTCTTTTCTCATTCTTATGACGACTTGTCGTCTGTAAAAGTACCAGATGACTCGAATTCTCCTACGTAAAATCATATATCAAATAAATCACACTCACGATGAAAATCCAGCACAAAGCCAAGTTGACATTTTGTTGGTTAAGAGAAATACCAGTTTAACCATTTTTCTGTTAGCAGTGGCAATAATCTGATCCTGAATTAGAATAGAAGATTGAACATTTTCACATCAAGTTCATGTTTTTATATTAAAATGATATTTTGGGCGAAACAAAGTTGTTTTCTCCAGCAACTTATGTGAAAACAGCGTTTGGGTAGTTCAATCACAAATCTAAAATGTAACCTTTATTTATCAGTCAGGTAAAAAGCATGAAATGACTGCATAAATATATATGTAACATATACCCGACATAGAACATTTATAAAAAATAAAATATGTCTTATTTATCGTTTAAAAATATGTGTGGAAATATCAGCAACTAATCATAAATGGCGCAGGTCTTTCAAACAATGTCTTCTACACGTAATAAAGCTATGTTGTTATTAGCATAGCTTCATGTTACCTGTAGCTCTGCGTCTCTGGCCTCTGCGTCAGTAATCACGTAAATTGTCGATCCTGCTAAAACTTTATCCAAAGCGAGACTAATTCCTTTCATACTAAGTTCCGGTAAATCGCCTCCTCCATGAGCGTAAACACTGAAATTATAACGTTTAATTAATTCGAATACAAATAAGAAAAGAAAAACATATAGACATGTGTGTAACATATGTATAACCAATTAAACAGGATTTGGTGATACAGCTTCAAACTGCAAACCACAGGAACATAGAAGCGTTTTGAACCTTCAACACAACAAAAAAAGCAAAAAAATCCATTTTACAGATTGTCTATAAAGTGTATATTTGCACATAAAAATCATTATAATTGGGTGAGTTTGATTTTTTCAATTGTTAATTGTTGAAAGGCTTTATTGACTGTAAGTCTGATATACGATATCCAATGAAATATTCCGGTGATCTGATGTTTATTACAAAAAAGATTGAGCCTGTGTTACAATGCATTTTGAGTAAAATGCTATTTTATCTGGTGCGAACAAACTAGAAGGTTTTCACTTTATAATGTGTCGATGACTTTGAGCGAAAATTGAGTCTGATTTCATAGATTTATTACCATCTAATTTATAATATTATCATGATCACTATAATAAATTGATAGCAAAGTATATAATGTTTTATTCTTCCGTAAATATTCATAATATATTTACCTTCTGAAAGCTTCTTTCAGTCTGTTAGGATCACCAGTTGACGTCACAGGTCCAACTTTTGGGTCGTTGAAAGGAACCAGAACAAAATTTGTTGGTTGATCAACTGATCCAGCACGTTCGTCGATTAACAACTAGAATGAAAATTCAAATTTTATAATTAGATAATTATCAAATCCATGTTGTATTTCTACGCATATACTTTTTTTTAGCATATCACAATACAACATGTTGTGCGTATATACATGTTGTAACTGCCAGCCTTCCCACCTAGCCAGCACTAGTAGGTGAGAATCTGTTATAGTTAGGAAGAACAGCAACATTTTGGTTCGGCAATGCCTGCCCAATTTATTACACCTTGGGTGGGCATGGGATTTGAAGATATTAATATATTCGAGATATTTGCCGGCGATGTCTAACGCTTTAGTCACTAGGTCATCGTGCCCACAAATACTGAATATTAGTTAAAGCAAGCCGTACATATTGTGCAATCGAAGACTGAAGTACGCGTTATCAGGGCACGGAGAAAACAAAACTAAAGGCAGGTGCAAATTGATAAATAATCTATTACAAAAGAGTGAATGCGAACGACGAAACATTGTATCAGCAGAAATCCAAAGTGCGATCCAGCAGTGTTGTGATCATCGCGTTACAAAACTGCTGTTTTAGACTTCATTGTCACAAGCGTGACTATCGAAAGATGTTGTAACATTTTGCATAACAATCTACGGCGGAATATGAAATTGCAGATTTCAGAAATAGTAGATGAATAAATGATCGACAAGTAACATTTTGTGAACGATAGATTTTAGGAGTAGGGTAAATTCAATAAAATGAAATTGAATATGGCTCTTGTATTGTGTCCAGTACTATCCACTTAAAAACAATAGGTTCAAGTTTTTTTGACACCAATCGAATAATTTTTTGTTTCTCTCAACATCTGCGAAAAACAAGGTAATTATCATAATTTATGGCTTCGTTTTCTCGGACGCTGAAGTGTTTGACCTCAAAAGTAAAACCTTGAGGCTTCGGCATAAAAACTTTTACTACAAGTCTAGTTCCGCGACATTTTTCAATCCTATAAATAACTGCCAATTAAGTGAATCTCTGACGTGAACATGTCGTAGGTGTAATTGTAAGCTTCCGAAACTATTTGTAATAAAATGTCAGTAAGAAGCTAGCTAATTTCAGACTAGTAATTCAAAATTTTTGTAAACATATATTTATTACGAAGTAATACTGGTAGATTTATGACATAACGATCCCCTGCGTTTATTTCGAAATCCTTAATTTTAGCCGTGAATAAATATAGCATGACAGGTAGACAATGGTATGCCCGGGCCTAAAACGAAGCATATGCGAGACAGAGGTCTTCATTATCAGCAATGTGGTCTTGCATTTTCATAAATTTATACCAAAATGTAGTCTGTTGTGTCACAATTTTATTTTGATTCAATTTACCGAGCTAACGTGGTAATCTTCTCGGTTTTTCAATTCAAACATTTTAGGTGAGGAATGTTAATGTAGTCTGGATTGTCGATACATTTATTATAGCCTTAGGCATAATGTGAATATTGTGAAAACGAAATCTAAATAGTGCAATAATAGACAAGTATCAAGTTACGTTTCCATTTCCATATAGATTTGTATTTTCTCTGTTTTTGTTAAATTTTATTGTCTGCTATCATTTTTATTTCGCACGAGTATCCACTTTCAGGTTACTACATACACATGCAATTAAATATCGACACTTGATATCTTAATTTAAACCCGTATATATATTATCTAATATACACATACATTGGTAATATACAAATGTTGTCTGCCAATCTAATTTCAACCCATCGAAAACCGAGCTTCAAATGATCCATCAAATTAAAATAGTTACACCAAAAAGTTTTAATTTATTCTTGCAAAACGATGAAAACTATGCGCCAGAGTTACAATTCAAGCAAGGCTTGTGGGTTAGCTCATGTACCGCGAGTTTTAGTAAACAATTATCTTTTAACATAGCGTATTCATTTTGTAGGACAGACTGTCACACATACTCAAAAATCATTTTATTGATGGGGCTGATCTCAACTTATAAGATCAAGTCAAATTAATTTTTTCTAACCAGTAAAATCAACAACAATCGAACACAAAATTACGAGAAAATGATGATTATACATTTTTACTGGGGAAGGGAAGTCGCGGGGAACAAAACTTGGTTATCGATCAGCGACACCCGAGGTTCAAATTCTAATTTAGGAAAATTTAATATATTTGAGTTTGGAATCTGCTGTTTTTTACGCTTCAACCCATAGCTCTAAATGGAAGTCTGTGACTAGGTTTATAGTTCATGGACGCCAATTATGAAGTGTTCTACGTTGAAACCAAAGTTTAACATTATGAGGATAAAACTTACTATAACAGTAATCATGGACTTGTGTTTATGTTCAGAAGGATTTATATCTCCGGTACTCTCATGTCTTAATAATTATGAACCCCTAATCACACCTTTGACCTTTGTTCAACGACATAACAATATATGTTCGCTTGTTGAGCAAGCGAACAAATGATATATCGCTCAATTTTTCACCTGATCATGCTTGTCAAGATAGTTTGATTGAGAAGTGAGACACGTGATCTTCCTAATTAATGACAGGAGATAAAACGTAAGGGGATCACTTAAAGACGTGTGATAAAAATGATTGATTGTAAACATAAAATAGACGTGACTTCTGGTAACAATACGAAGATTTTCGAAACAAACTTTAGTTATAAAACTGACGAGCGATTCGTATGCCGCTAGCTTATTGTGCATACTAAAGAAAAAATATCAAAGAAATCTCTCTCGTGAAATAAAAAATTTGAAAGGGAAAAATATGAAGTGTTGTTATATCAAATCAAGTAAAACAAGTATTAAACAAGTATTTACCTAGGAAATTTTAACTAAAAAATAACCTGAAACCGTACGATACGATAATATTGGAATTATTGATAAGAACTCACATGTGACCTTCGTCTAGCTGCATCAATTTCTTCTGACATACTTCCCGTATCATCAATAGCAAATGCAAGAGTTGTTCCAACACCGAGGGCAAAGAATTTTCCAAATGTCCAGTCGCCGATTCCTCTTCGTAGCCTTTGAATAAAATATATATCTTCAATACAAAGGATTTTGGTGATCATTTTGTTGAATACAATCGGAGCGAAACATTTACCATTTCGAGTCGACTAAATTAATTTAGGAAAGTGGAAAAACAACACGACAATCTGTTTAATGTTCTATTTTTAACGTTTATTAACAAATATATTTGTTCTTGTAAAATATGCAAGTACAGAATGGAAATTATAGAGGACCATAAACGAACGTTATAAATTAATTAATGGTATAAAATGTTTAAAGAGGTTTGAATCGAACGTACGAAATGTAAAACTTATTAATGGTACTAGAATATCTTTTTCGCATGAAGCTATACAAATAAGAATCACGATTCATCAGCTTTTTTTTATACACGTATGAATGCAATTTGATCTTTATTTTTTAAAGAAATAAAATGCAAAATGTCGTATAATTTATCAGAAAAAGCAAAGTTTGGTACCTGGATATTTCTGACGCTATTATTCCCTCAGCTAGATCTACGTCCTTACTAAGTATACATCTATAATCAATCCAATTGACATCACCAAAATCAGACATATCTCTGTACAGAAGTAATCCAAACTTTTTCCTTGCAATACCAAAATTTTGTTCTTTTGCATATTTGTATATTTCCGATCTGAGTATCACTTTGTCTCGTTCTATTGTCTTCACATCCAGGATCAGCTTGTAAAATATCTACGATCACTCGTTTGAATGCATGTGGGACGCTCCTTCTCCATAATATTCTTTATATAAATTTGTGCTTCAAGGGGCTTCACCATTGATGGTGTAAACTGGGGTCGATTTGGATTTGGGTTATCAGCGAAGAACAATGATGCCGCTTCAACAAACGATTTTTCTAATAGAGTTCTAAATTCAACACAGTTTGTACCACGAGGGGCAGTTTTACTGAGAATACTTCCATCGCAAATTTGAAATTGTATCCCCAAAATTGGTAATATAATGACGAATATATTCTTCACCATCGTATTATGGATTTATAGCTGCCAAAAAGCAGCGTCAACCTTACGACAGCAAAAAATGCTAAATTTTTACTGAAACAAAGGTATTAAATTAGTTAGATAAACCGTGTTCGTCGGATATACCGTAAGGAACCGTCTAATGAAACTATTATTATAGACTGCCGTTTTATCTCCTATCTGTAACCACAAATATCGTCACATCTTGGTATATTCATATTCCCGCGTCTCGTCAAAATACTTTCACTCTATAGTTTCTCGAATTTGTAGAATTTACTTCGATAGCATAAAATATGAAATCTTAATTTGGAGCACTAACACAAAAATGCGGCGGACTGACTACCGGTACCGTCGCGATGAAAAGAATAAGCAAGAAACCTTCTTATCGTTCCACGCAATCGTCACGCACCGGCCTCAGGCATTAATGAGTACCGTTATCGTTTAAACTCATTAGCTTTGTAGCCTACATTAAAATACAAAAATTGTATACAAAAGCAATTTTGGAATTAAAATTTAAAAGCAGGAAATCAAGGTGGAGTTACGGACAAATATAAACTAAATCCTCTTTACCTTAACCATCAATTTAAAGCTTCTATCTTTTCAAAGCTCAACTTAAATTCACGGGCAACTTGTGTAAAACTGGTTCCGCAAGGAAAAACGCAAATGGCCTAATATATACATTAGGCCTAAAAACAAATTTACCACCAAAAGATATTCTCAAAAAGAAATGAGATATAACAAAACTACATTGTTCATCAATAAAAATTATTTATAAAATAATTGCTAGTGAAACTGAAAACGAATAAAACTTCAAAATAAAATATAATATAGAAAACAATGTACGGTCCTGTCTTAATATATAGCAAATTTGTGCCTCTGATACTCAACATACCCAATCGCTGGGAAAGCTCCATCAGTCTTCTCTTAATTGTCGCAGTTCAAATTTTACTTTGACAAAACAATGTTACCTTTATCTTCACGACTACTTATGTTGCATTTATTGTCCTAAATTGACCTGCAGTAAAAATAAAGCAATAAATCAATTCGTGATTCTGTGTATAAAATGCTATAGAGAATAGATATTATTTCAAATAGAAACAAATAAATGATGGTGAAGCATTTGATGTTTGAGTAAAAGAATTGGATGTCGATTGAAAACGCTTCATTCAATAGTATATGATTAAAGAGAGGTCGCGCAAAGGACTGAGAAACCAGTATGCCAATTTTATCTTAGTTTTTGTACAATATCTTTTATTTATCTCCGTTTGGACAAACGGTACATGACGAAATATGTATATCAAAATATTCAAACATGTTATTCTGTATATCCTACTGTAAGCCCTTTTGCGTACGTCACTTTTTTGTGTATTGGCGATATCTCTAAGTGGTTAGACCGACTCATACTGACGTCAACTTACGTTTGGCAAATTTCATTCAGCCTTCTCACTTGTGACACCATGTGTCATCTTGGATACCGATTTCTTTCCCGACTCATTGTCATCCAATAAAGATGACCACATTGTACATGGTCATTTGAATATACAATTCATTGGTATATTGAAAATGAAAAAATACATGTTATCAATTTAGAATGTGAAAATGAAATTTAATATTCTAAGTGTTTTTGTAGTACAGTAGTTTTTGGACACGTATAGTGGACATAACCATCGTATCGTTATGATGTTGTTCTTGTTCTTTGTATCGTTTTGAAGAAATCGCTTTTCTATTTGAATACTAGACCAATTGCTTTGAAATCAGTGAGTGAAGATTATATTTTTTGCTAGAGGGCTATTACTTTTATTTTTGCTATGACGTCATCAAAATTATGTGGCGCTACGTGTCCATATATTTGAGCATATCTCTCTTGTTTATTTATTAAATCATTATTGTATTTTAGTATAAGATTGCATTGAGGATTTTTGTGGCATGTTCAACCTAACTGCCAACTGAACGACCCCGCGACTTCCCTTCCACTGTAAAACTGTGTAATTGTCATTTTATCGTAATTTGTGCTTGTGTGATAGTTTTTTACTAGTTTGAAAAAATAAACTTGACCTTGGCCTTGACTCGACCTGTTCATCGTAAATCTAACATCAGTAAATATAAAGATCTCAACATAGAAGTGGACGACATACATAATCTTTTTTCTTCCGGAATTGGAGTAAAATGTAATGTTATGATGAAATAAACAGGGAATGTATAGTTTTCATTCATTCGGGAGAGTTAACTGCGATATTTTACCCAGAAAAAAAACTGGAGATTACATAGAGGTGAAAAGCAGTTAATATTTGAAATGTCCGATAATTTCCAAAAGATTAACACATAAGATCTGGTAGTACTCAAAGAGGAATTGGAATCTATATTCATTGCAGATAAATCGGATAGAATTACGTGGGAAATGTCTTATATGTATGACTCACGAATTATTAACCAATCGGACAAAGTAAAGTTTAGACTGAGAATGACACACTAAACTCAGTGGACTTGAAACCAATAAATATTTTATGGAATATTCGAGGTGGTTTTTTTTCAACTCCAATTATGACCATGCATGGAATATGAATTATTTAAACTGTAAAATTTTCTAGCAAACGTGATTCAGGTGTGAATATGGGTTCTTACGCTTCAGCAATCTTCAACGTAACCTCAAAAATTTTGAAACTTGGATGACAATTAATTTGACTTCTCGAGAAGACAACATTAATTTTGTGTTAGGTTGTACGTGTCTACAATGCCAAAATGTTGTTCGTGTATTGCGTTGAAGTCTGGAATTAGAAAAATATTTAATAGGAAGAATCTGTTTTATGAAGATGCAAATCGAAAAGATTTCAGCTCGTTTCTTGTAAGTCTTTTTTACTATGTTCTTCTACAATTTTTTCTATTTTTATATGTATTTTTATATAGTTTGTGTTCAATTTATTCAGTACAAAATCAAAAGTGATATCTCATTAGAATACGGATCTCAATTTCGGTAAATCTTCTCAACTGGATATACTTGCCCATACCTCTTGAAGGCTTCTGAAAATCTCTTGTCAAATAGGATACAGTGATTGATTAGCGACATTCTCTTTCCAATCAACGTACCGTACAGCGTTTTATTATTATATATATATATGTTCATTTACCGCAAGCATACTTCTTGGTGTCGGTTTCACTGTTAAGTACTAGATATTTTTTGTCTATAGTATTTAAAGCCTACAACATGTTCGGTTGGATCGAGTTTGCGTGACATATCAATATTTGATTGTTACTCGAAAACTTGATTATTACATTGATACTCTTAGATACGTTATTTTAGATTTAGTGCAACTCTAATGAATATGGCTGATGTTTGCAATATACTAACTGTCCCGTAGCAGAAACAGTAATTTTCTATTCATGTTCACACATAATTTTTATATCCATTCTCTGTTCTTTTCATATTAGTTTAGATTAGGTTATTGTCCCTAATTTAGCCTAACACAACCAATGAGAACAAATCACAAAATTAGTGATGAGGCAATAGCCAAATAGTACTCCAAATTACTCTAATAAAACAATTAACCAGCATTCAATAATTTTTCAGTGGTGGGAATGCCCCCGTATATATGTCATGCACAGGTGTTTGGTGTTCATTTTCTCTCTCGGATGGCTAATATCGCACTTGGAAAGAAATTATCGTACTGGTACGTTGGCTGAATTCATGCTTTATCTCACACACTGGTTTGAAATTATTTTCAATGTCTACCTCCTATTATCCCTCGCCACAGCAATGGTTGAAATTCGGAAAAACTCAGTTTTGACTGAAATACAACTCGAAAAAGGTAAGTGTAAACGAATTATAATATCATTGTTCTCTTTCATGGGTTACACATATTTCTGCTTTTTTATTCATTGTTATTTCGTGAAGGAGGATATTGTGCCATTAATAACTTGTTCTACAGCTCAAACAAGCAACTTTTAGTGCTCGTTGCTTTTTTTTTTTTGATCCTTTGAACCTACTGGAAACTAATCAAATGAGTTTTGAAAAGACCCATCAAATTAAATTGGAACATTACTAGCATATTGTAACCACTAATTGCTTTTATTATAAACAAAATCAGAAAATCGTTGTTAGTGGAGGTTGAATCTTGAATCAATGGTTCAAATTGCAATAAAAGTATGACACGAATAAACAAGAGAGCGATGCTCAATTATATGGGCACGAAATGGTACGGTGTGCAATCTGTCACAGTAGCCTACCGGTACGGTATGGCACCTAAGCAGAATATTTGAACTTACGCAAACAAGGAGCGCAATTTTCAATTTTGATGACTTCATCGCACACAAACAACGAATTCTATAGACTCTATGGCATAAAGGTCACAGAACTTTCTGAAATCAAGGAAAGTAATAGCCTTCTAGCGGAAAATACAATCTTTACCCACTGATCAATTGGCCCAGTAGTTAATGAGAAAAACGATTCATAAGTCCATTTCGTGTCCAATATTGACACGAAAAGTTCGGGGTGTGATACAAAATCCAACCATGATATCGGCACATTCTATATTATGGTTTTAAATTCTGGAAAGGACATTCTCGCGAAAATCTGTTCTTACAAAACTGCATTCTTGGCAGAAATCATTTTTGCAAAGCTTTCGCAAACTTGCTTACTTGTAAGATTTGGTCCAAGCATGGCTTTTCTTATTCAGAAAGTGCTTCAAAAGAGGCTGTTGAATCCACGGACGATGGAGATCATTTAGAAAAAGACGATGTGGATTCCTTACAAGGCAGAAAATCATTACGTTGGTATCATAAATGTACATGGTACACCTACGAGTCTTCTTTAGTTGGTTCACTGCTGATAACAATAGTTTATTGGTCATATTTATGGACCGGAACCAGCGTAAAAGAAAACCCTTTTGATATATATCAACACGGGCTCAACTGTGTGATATTATTCATAGATTTAAGTATCACTAGACTACCAATTAAGCTTGCTCATGCAGTACAGCATAGTCTTTTTGTTTTTATGTTTATGATGTTCTCGCTTGCAGTATCTTACATTCGTTACGCAAAAGGATATGAAAAGCTAGCAATATACTGGATATTGGATTGGATAAATTATACAAAATGTGCCGTACTCATAACTTTGGGGATTTTTCCCGCGATGTTTTTGTTGCAAGTTGTAATTGTTGGTGCGAATCAAGTAAAACTGAACTTGCATAGAAAATTCACAAACAATTCCACTGCTGTAATAATAAACATGAGGCAAGATATTTAAGTAAATGTATGATTATTTTCATTCATTTTCTACAACAATATAATGAGCCAATTCACAGAAATCATGGTCCAGAAATATAATGTAAAGCATGTTTTTTGAAAATGAGTATGTGCTTGGGTATGTCGAGTGTCAATAAAGACTATGTATGATTCATAAACTCAATAGTACGATTATCCTCTACTTTCATCATGTTTAGGCTCATTAGAAAATGCATTCTGCAGCAATGAGAATAGATCACGATTGAAAACATTATCCGGTATTTGTGTGAATATATCCCTATCCCCTCAAAAAATAGTGTAGGGTAACTATACAGATGTTGAACAAACTGTTAAAGGACTGTTTCAAACATGGTTCTATCTTCATCCAAAACATCCAAACGACAATACCGTGGTATGAGAACCCAAACTTTCTTGCTGACAACCGAATACATTTCTGTATTTGTCATCCTGGCGAAATTCTGGTCGCGCAAGTACGCTACCATGAAATCCAAACCGATTTCCGTATTAGCCTATTTCAAATAATTAGGACCGTCACTTTTAGAAGATTTTGAAAAAAAACGTAGATATCTAAGAGTTTAAGTTGTAATTCGCGAGGATATGCAATTGTTCAGCAGTTTGAAGAATATTCGTTAGGACACTATTGTATAGGAATGCCGATCCCTTTTTAATGAATGCGTCAAAAATGATATCATAATTGTGGAAAAGAAGACTTTTAGTCATATATGAATAATCAATGTCGGGTTCAATGTCAAATTTGCTGTTACTCTTATTACGTCTTATAAACCTTGTTTAGTATTGTGTAGTTTTGGGTTTTACTCATGTAGAACTCATCTCAATATTGAGAGGAATTCTGGTACTTGATTGGAATGAAGTTAATGATACAGCAAATCTTTTCATGGTTTCAAGATAGTCTGGTGGAATTTGATCAGCTTTCAATTGCATTAAAGTCACTACTATCATGCTCGATTGTAATTGTAGATTTCTGTAGTCGTTAATTTAAGTCTATAACATTTGTTTTCCAAACGACAATGTTTGCGACAAAAAAATAATCTGCAAAGCAGTACCTGGTTTTGGTATAATCCCTAAATATTCTGGTCTTCCCTTTGGTTCGTGCACCTTCAAAAGGGAACCGCTGTAACAAGACAGGTTGAGAAATGAATTGTATGTTATAAATGTTGCAACAGCATTGTTGCCAATACCGATTATACCGGGTTCTGTATAGTAGGTAATATTTATTACCGTGTTGTAGATACTGTAGCACTTATTGTTAGATTGAGTTAAGGCCGGTTTTATCGGAAATTTTTATCACAGCTAGTGATATGTTTGCATTAATTCATGACTTGATGTGTCACCGGAAAAACAAAACTTCTACAAACATATTTGCGAGAAAAAAATTTGATTATTACGAAGCATTATGCAGGGAGTGAATTGGACTTTTACATCTCAGTACATTAAATGGCTATCAGCTTTAAGCAGTGATAAGAATCTGAATTTTCGAGAGCAGGATCCCATCTGCATTGAACTCAATAACAACAGGTCCTCTCATTTCAGTAAATCATGCCGAATTTATAGTACGCTACAATAACATGGTACGATAAACATAAATCTACCACATAACTTTTGGTAGTCTTCAGTGGTGCATGAGGTCCAATTTTTTGCTGGTGTCCAACGCCAAAAGAAAAAACAAAAAACGAGTGGGGGTTCTCTTATTATCACGACACTCCATGAACGGAACCGCGCAAACCACTAATATTTTAAAATATTAAGAAACGTTGAACGACCTGTCCAATGGCGACTACCCAAGCACCCATTGAGCTAGGGGTCAAGAGGTCGATTACGCCACCAGGAATCAGAAAGTAACAACAATAAACTGCAAAGTTAAATTGCAGTCTGACTATAGAAAAACTGATACAACAATACCCGATATAAAATACGATTTATGCAGGAAGGTTATGAAACTAACCAATTAAGTTTGTCAACATTCTACTCGAGCCTGACGAGGAGAAACGGAATTAAAACTTGACTGTCGTCTCAACTAGTATCCTGAATAAGTATCGGCCAATTCACTACCTAAACCGGCCGTTTATACCTTGGAGAAAAGCGAATTACAATAACAAACGCACCAAGAAGAGAGAAAATATACGTTAACGCATCACTCTTGAAGACTCTGGAATTAATTAAAACGTCCGCTTGTTTGATAATTTAATTAATTATTATTGAGATTATCTTTTCCGACCTCCTGCATAGTTCGACCACACGCATGGTAACTTGTTCACACGAACGCGGGGCCATTGCAGAATTCCCGCCACCGCTGTAAGTTTAAGGTTAATAGCAGGAATAGGTAGATTTTTAGCATCTTATTTTCTCCTGCGGTTTTCTTCCTTTAGAAAGGTGTATGCCTAAGTTTATTTCCATACATTCTGATGAAAACAACACGAAGTCAGTCTAAATCAGTTCACTTGAGATCAATGTGGCGGTGCGTTGATTCAGCAGTTTACCATGAGAACCATAAATAGCGTAAATAAAACCATAAATAAAAAATTAGAGTATAGACCCGAAAATTTGTCCCCGTTAGTAATAAACAAGGCGCAGGAATATATAGAATTAGGGGTGTCTCAAAAATGTCGTGTCCCACGTGTCCCACTTGTTTCAATTATATCGTTATTATTGAAGTGCTTTCGTTTCGAGGCCAAAAAATGTTTATACGGAGAAATTTTGCATGCGCGGGAATTTTCGTCAGCGTTTAGTTTTATCAAAAATCATGCTCTGACTTTAAATGCACGCTTTATTCACCTTTGATTCTGGATTTAGCCTAACAATCACAGGAAATGGGTGTAAAGACCCCGCCATGTGGATTGAAATAGACGATAGAACGTACAAGTAATCGCAGTTGGTTAGCTTTCGTTAGTTTGCCTTCTTTGTATCGAAGTTGAGTTGGACCTTCAAGTTAGTAAAAGAAGCGTTTTTGAAGGGAGGTGCGAATGCGAAACTCAAACTGGCCTGCTCATTGCGACGCCTAATCGATCGGTACATTACTTTCTGGAACAGGCTTCTATCCCGTATACTTATTAACGACGTGTGTGTTGCCCGGTAAAAACTCGGCCTGAGATAGGAATGCAGTCCTAACATTTCTATATCAGAGGTTTTAACTCATTCAATGGCAAAAACTATTAATAAAAGTGCAAATCGCTCACATTTAGGAAAAATTCCGAATTCCACATGACGAATTTTTCTGAAGTATTTTCTCGGTATTTTTACAAATTTTTCGCGATTTTTATAATGCGATTTTCCTTTCTCGAAGTTTGAATCATCCAGCTTGAACTTTTTACTCGATATCACATAGTTTAACAATGCCGGAGTCACAAAATAACCAAATGAGCAACCAAATTGAACGATATTGTATAATGCTTGTTAATATTTGGAATATCCTTATTAGGTGATAATCAGGCGTCAGTTTAGTTGTAAAACCGTCTTGCATTAGGTAAATTTTTCAAGATATGGAACAATGTTCATAAGTACATGTATTCTTTTTAAATTTCTTTGATTATGTGCGTAACAAATCACTACAGAAACTGGGGTGTCTTAGAATTGTTGTGTGCCACTTGTCTTTGTGTCACGTGGGACACGTTGGACATGTGGGACACGAAATTTTCGAGACACCGCAGAATTAGTTTCCTACATAGAAGCCTAACACAAATTTTTGAGATAAAAAGATATACTAGGCCTACTGTAATTTATATATCAATATCCAATTCCTGTGTCTATGTAGGATCGGTAACGTTGATAATCTATATCAATTATACCTAGGCTTACCATACGTCCCGCTTTAGGCGGGACAGTCCCGCTTTTCAGCGTTTTGTCCCGCCTTCCCGATAAGTCAGCCAAAAGTCCCGCTTTTCCAGCATAATACACAACATGTTATCGTTGCTGTTGTTTCTGTGTAGCGCAGCGCTAGCCTACTTACTGAAGGTGAATGCGTTCGTTTCTCGCTGATTCCCATTGATGGCAGACGTATCGCATGTAAAACCAATACTAATTAGTCTAAATTCGAATTATTTGTACCGGTATTGTTAACGTCAATTCCTTCCTATTTTTCGAACTGAACCCGATATTTGGACAGAGAATATGCGCATGAAATTTCGATAACAATATGGTCAATAAAGACAGCCGGGACAGCTTTAAATGTAGGAATGTAGGCCTATGTAGTAAAATCGGAAAATGTGAAGTTACAAAATCGTTGTCTTTTGGGGCGTCCCGATTTGTCAGTCACAAAAATATGGTAACCCTAATTATACCTATATATTCGTAAATAACCAAAATGAAGATCAGATCACATTTACCATACAATTGTTTAAAAATACGTGAAGGCGTTCTTGAAATTTGTTTATGTCTTGAACAACCACCAATGTTATAAGTTATTTTTATCCAAACGTTAATAAATTAGAAAACTCAATAAGACTTAATATTATTGAGTTTGATTTTTTCATTCATTTATCATCAATTTTATCTCGATTTGAAACGGATGAGCATCGCTATAATGTATGAACACGAATGTCGAACGTTCTATAAAATTGTTTAAATATATATATAAATTAAAATAGACTATGAGAATTTTTCAAAACAGCAACAACACCTCAAATGTTGCGTTGTTAACTTTATTGGATTACCAATAATGTAAACGACACAAGATAGGTAGGTCCCAGTGCAAATATCAATATTATTGTCCAATTATCATTTTGCTTCTCGTACTAACTATCGCTACTTAGATGATGTTACCTGAATACAAGAAGGTTGTGTACAAATATAAATGTTTTGAGGCAGTGAGGAAGTAAATTCAAGGTTTTCTGTTGTGGAGACGACCCGTTGTTGCTATTTTAAGCTTTTGAGCGCTAAACCTGACAGGTCTGTGGCAAACCTTTTCACTTGTACAAACCTAAATACTAGTCTCTTGTACAGGCATAAATTGTTTTCATACTGCATTCCGGTGCTACTGTGGATATTTCAATGAAAAAAACATTTATTATTGAAGAAGAACTTTTACAATTTCAATATAGGATATATTTTAACGCCTTGTGCATTTGTTTTACTATGGCACCAAGTTCCCAAAGTACAAAAGAGTTTACTGGTTGCATGTAGATTGTATTTATAAATATGATGCGTATTTTAAATTAAAACTAAAATGTCAAGTATCAATTATTAGATATGGATGTATAAAAAAACTACGAAGCGTACATGCTTGTTACGTATGGAGTTACGCAAAATAAAAATAGAGCAAGCTGGAACAAGTATTGGATACATACACTATCTATTTTTAATTAATAATACGTGTAGTGATTTATGTATGACGTAATAGAAAATAAAAAACCTAAATACTGTACATAAAATTAGATCTGTTGCATCGAAACTTGGCGATTCATATGCACATGCTGAACAATATGAGCAAAAGTATAAACAAATATTATATTATTTAATATCACCTTTGAACTTTTTGCATTGGATTCTCCACCACTAAGTCGTTGATTGAAAATGATGTTAAGTTAAAAACATTTATTAAATTAAAAAGCAAAAAATATAAATAAAATATTATAACAGTGTAAAGACTTGTATAATAAAATGTAAGGCAGGCAGTGAATATCTTTCGCAACATGTTCAATTTCGAATATTTGTGCAACTAGTGTATACGCAGTTGGTCACGAATTGCGGTAAATCACCCCTTGCCGCGCGAAGTTGTGCCTTGGCAACAAAGGCTCTGGAGCTTAATTCTTCGTGTTTTAACTCCGCGCTAAAAAACGATTATTTATCACTTGTATTCATCTCCTATATCAGGTCAGGTTTCTGCAGATTCTACCCCCACATTAGATGATTCCGTTGTTCGTTGTAAAGATTCATAGTCAGGTAAAATAAACATTGGAATGAGATTCGTTTCCGTTTTGTCTTCTCCATCTTCTGCATACCAGGATCCATATTCAGGAGGTTTGTCATCAAAGTGATTCACTTCTGGATTCTCCAGATCCAACGCCAGAGAAATTGTCGGTATTTGACCTGAGTAGTAGTACACAGTAGTTAAATATTTTCGAATAACGATTTACACAACGAAGCTTAATTCTTCGTGTTTTAACTCCGCGCTAAAAAACGATTATTTATCACTTGTATTCATCTCCTATATCAGGTCAGGTTTCTGCAGATTCTACCCCCGCATTAGATGATTCCGTTGTTCGTTGTAAAGATTCATAGTCAGGTAAAATAAACATTGGAATGAGATTCGTTTCCGTTTTGTCTTCTCCATCTTCTGCATACCAGGATCCATATTCAGGAGGTTTGTCATCAAAGTGATTCACTTCTGGATTCTCCAGATCCAACGCCAGAGAAATTGTCGGTATTTGACCTGAGTAGTAGTACACAGTAGTTAAATATTTTCGAATAACGATTTACACAAGCTTGACAAAACTGCATTGTTTTTGGGAGCCCCAGAAGGTTGTGTACCAACATGGAGGTAACTAATTTTGTTCGCCTACTCTACATCAAGTTGTGTAAAAGGGCTCTGTCCCCGAACTCGTGATATAACTGAAATAAAGAAATCGGAATAAATTTATGGCTCATCCCTAACCTGGTACACACACTACGGCAGTGCCGTTTTTTGTATTTTGTTGAAACCAAATAGTACTTTACCAGTTTGATTTCCTTCGTTGTTCTGAGTTGTAGGAGAACGTTTCTTTTTACAACAAAACCAACAAAAACAGCACAAACCAATTACTCCAACAGGAATACAAACGCTTACAATAATGATTTGTGTCCTTTTATAAAAAAAAAAAAGTATAAATAGTAAACAAATTGTTACTTTCTATTTAGTATTAAAATTCTATGGATACGGTATATGCTCACATTTCTTCAAAAATTGTTCCAAGATTCGTCGTTTTTATAAAGCTTTTCATACTCGCTGTTTGCAAGCTCAATGTTAAAATGGTGAGTAGAGATGAAATTGAATCATATATTTGACAGATAATAAAGATTTATTAATGTGGAAGTGGGACAAGAACAAAGACGCTTTTATGTTCATTCATAGATACAATTTCGCTCGAGTACTGTACTTCCCAAAGATAAAATTATTTGTTTTTTCCACTATATTTTCGATAATTTTTTGGCGCTCCCGTAGTATGTGCACCAAGATGGCGAACATCGGAACGTAGTATGTGTTCCACGTTAGGGTTAGGCCATAATTTCCCCATATTTTAGTTCTACCACGAGTTTGGGGACTAGCCAAATGACTCCCGTAGTATATGTACCTGAAATTGTGGCCTAACCCTAACATGATACACATAGTAGGTTCCGGTGTCCGCCATTTTGGTTCACATACTACGCAGGTATCATTTTTTTTTTGCTTTAGATCATCAATTCTATATAGAGCAAGTCTGGCTGAAAATTGAAATCGCTTATCGTTAGACGCGGTAAATGATTTTAAAAATATATAAGGATTTTGTACTCTGTACGATAGTGTTTTTCTAATATTTCTGTATCATATTCTGCTTTCGAACAGCATACATTAGAGGAGCAGCAACGTCTTTCAGCTGGACATCCCATGTGCCATTGACAATATCGACCTTACAAAACAACATTAAAACAATCAATTATATGGAAAGAAAAGTAGAATAAAATGTGGTCTGTTCACAAAATATATACACCCCTCGCTCTGACAAAAAAACAGAACAGCTATTTGAGTTATGGTACCATGCAATAAAGAACGGTAATCAATCCTTTCACTATAGCATATTTAATTTATCCCAACCATTTTCAGTTTGTTGTTGTGTATCGAACTAGTATTCAAGTATGTGCTTTTGTTCTTTCGAAAAAGATTTGCTCTGTCAAAATATTTTTATAATTTATTATCTGGCACTAAAATCATGCTTTCCGTGTCTGAATAAGTATTGGGATTTACGACAAATCAATACGATAAACGCATGCTGCAATTGCCTTGGTCATGCATAGCTGAATAAAATTGTAAGAAATTCTATCAAATTGTTTGATGACTAATGCTCATGCGATTCGCGTCATTTAGTTTTACTAGAAATTCCGAAACTTGACTCATAAAACGATATGTAGTTTCTATAACCAGGGGATTTCTTCAATTTTGACGTTCACTCACTCCCTAGGGTTATCAAATGCAATAATAAGTTATTATAAAATTTGAAAACTCGTAAGCTGTATAGAGACACAGTCGCACTGTATGGCGATCTACATTCTGATGCCTTGGGGGTGTGATGATAGAAATCGTTAATAGACTTTTGCCACATATACTAATTCACGTATAAAACGCTTAACCAAATAAAGATGTTTATTTTTTTGCTTTAAATATTCTCTTTTTTTACATAATAAGTAGGACGACGAATGTTATTTAATATTGTTATTTTCATACCGTTTTGAAGTTAATTAGGGGTGATTAAAAAGTCAATATAATTCATGCTAGTTTTTCGGTACTTCCGAGGTTATGTACCAGGTTAGGGTTGGACCATAATTTTATTCCGATTTTTTTTACTTCAGTTCTATTACAAGTAAGGTAACTGTCTGGGTTAGCCAAGTGGATATACCCCCTGACCATAGCTCTTATATAACTAGTTACCTCTATATTGGTACATACACTTCTGGAGCACCAATTTATCTATTATCAAAATTTAATGAGTGTATTCTATGCAATATCCTAATCGATCTACAATTTTGTATAAAGTATATAATGCTCTACATTCTTAACTGTTATTCAAATATTTTGTAGTACATGAGTGGCGTATTTATACCGCATATCATAATATAAAACCTCGCTTACCTTTAGCTTCTTGAATCATCAGAATACTGATCATCAGAAAGACAAATGATATGTGTAATAATATCATAGTTAGATCTACCTCTAGAATACAATTTTATAAAACTTAACACCGCCGATCTGTAACGAGCGTACAAAATAAACTTAAACTGCCCGTGGTGTCTTTGGCTATTTAAGTTAACTATTAACTTCCTGATAAAGGAATGGTATGCGTGATGTTACGCAATAACGTCAGACGCATGAGCATCAAAATACCCTTTTGAAGAAATCGTTCTCTTATTCGAGGCTTAGTATATTGTGCCATAAGAAATTCAAACTTTATTTACACCCGATGTCTATTGTTTTACAAGATTATGTTGATTAAACCTATGCAAACTAGAGTTAATAAAAGGTTACTGTGCCGTGCCGACTTCTTTAAAAAAAATTCACGTGGAGAGAAGACAAGATAACATTCGAAATATATAATCATTCTGCATTTTATGAAAATATGTCGTCTAAAAATAAGTATGTTTTTCAGTATTTTATTTTCGCGTTGCTGTTTCTAAACAAATATTTTACCATAGGGTTTTTGTATTTTCTCATTTACAACTGATTTTTTTGTAATTTTCAACATTGTGCTATGAATACAACATAGTAATAACAGGAAGTAAAAAATTCGAATAGAGCAATTCATATTCTCAGGCAAAATACGAAACATGATATTCAACGCAACGGATAATTGGACAACAATGTACGCCTGAAAACTATATGACTGATTCGCATTACTCATAAAATCATGTTAGACATTGACTGTGAAAAACAATAAAAGTTTACTATCAGTGGGAATACTGTAAAATTACAGAAAATTGTTTTAGGAGAATGTTCGCGTTTTCAAGGTGACCCAAAAAATGGAACCCATAAATTTCATAATTTTGTCTACAGAAATGGAGTCAATTTTTTCTACACTTGAACTTCTGTTTGTGTATGATTGTACCCAAAGGTTTCAGTAGTCCAGGACATTTTGCACAAAAGTTATGTTCTCGAAAATGTACACATGCCGTCCTCGGCGTTGGATACAGACTAGCATCCGTTACGTTAAATTATCAATCACTCGCGCACACATCTCTATGGAGTTTCCTCTGATTCTGCTACAATGGTAACCTTGACTTCACTAATTGTTTGAGGATTGTTCTGATACACATTGTTCTTCAAATACTTTTTATTATAGATAAAAATGCAGGGGGTTCAAGTCCGATGAATGAGTTGCTCACTCGACGCCATTGCTGACTCCTGATCAGCCTTTCTTGAATTCTCTTTCCCAACCAGTCAGTCAAGAACCACTGGTAATCTCGACCAATCCCTATACACATTGTTCAATTGATATTCAGTACTTTTCCGGCACCATGGCGGAACGTTACATATGCACTGTTTGAGCTCTCTCATTATCGCTTTCACACCATTACGAACCGATTTTGCCATGTTTAAAAATGATTACCCATGTCGTGCACTTTACTGAGCGTAACGGTTTCTGTCAGACTTATTTGGGAGGTGCTGTGCACCAGTAAACATCAGCAGAGAGTGCTCGTCAACAGAAAACCAAGTGAGTGATAGACAATTTTGCGCAATCGATGCAAGTCTGTCTCTAATACCAAAGAGGTAATTTCGAACAGACTCTAGAGTCTAGAGACTCTATAGTCTAGAGAGAACAAAACTTGTGTACAAAGCATCCTAGATCTCTGAAACTTCAAAGTTATCGCTATTTTATCTGTTTTTGCTAGCACCCCGGAAGCACAACTTTTACGACACAATATTTTCTCTTCTGTTTGAAAACTAAATAGTGTCCCCTGTGCCCTGTCACATTGTTAGTATTTAGTTAGGCCCAATTTTCTGCTGGTGTCCCATGCCCAAAAAAAACGAGTAGGGGTTCTCTTATTATCACGACACTCCATGAACGGAACCGCGCGAACCACCAATATTTCAAAAGACATCTAACTTAAAATATTAGGAAACTTTAAATGACCTGTCCAATGGCACCCATTGCGCTAGGGGTCTGGAGATCGATTACGCCACCAGGAATCAGAAAGTAACAACAATAAACTACAAAGTCAAATTGCAGTCTGACTATTGAAAAACTGATACAGCAATAACCGGTATAAAATAAGATTCATGCAGAAAGTTTATGAAACTGACAAAATTAAATTTGCCAACCTTCCACTCGGGTCAAGCGAGGAGGAACAGAACTAATACTGACTATTGTCTCAACAAGTCGCCTGAAAAGTAGTGACCAATTCCCAACCTAAACCTGGCCATTCACACCACGGAGAAAAGCAAATCACAATAACAAACGCACCAAGAAGAGAGAAAGAATGCGTCAGTGCATCACTCTCGACAAATCTGTAATTAATTGCGACGTCCCCTTGACTGTTAATTGATTTAATTATTGTTGGGGTAACTATCTTTTCCAATCTCCGGCATCGTTTGACGACACGCAACAGACAACGTTTTTGCATGGGGCCCTTGCAGTATTCCCGCCACCGTTGTAAGATTAAGGTTAATATCATGAATAGATAGATTTTTAGGCTCTTAGCATCGTATTTTCTTCTGGTTTTATTTTATTAGAAAGGTGTATGCTTAAGTTTATTTCGATACATTCTGATAAAAACAATACAAAGTCAGTTCAAATTAGTTCGCTTGAGTTCATTCAACCTGGCGGTGCGTTGAAGTATGAGGGTATAGACTCGAAGATTTGTCCCCGTTAGTAATAAACAAAGCGCAGGGATATACAGAATTAGTTTCCTACCCATAAGTTAAGAAAGAATTGTTGAGATAAAAAGATATACTGCTGTAATGTATATATCAAATCCACTTCCGTGTCTATGTAAGATCGGTAATGGTGATAATCCATATTATACCTAAGTTCTTGAATAACCAAAATGAAGATCAGATCACATTTACCTTACAAAATTGCTTAGAGATAACGTAAATGCGTTTTAAAAATTTGTATGTCTTGAAAAACCACCAATGTTATGAGTTATCTTTATCCAAACGTTAATAAATAAGCAAGCTCAATAATACTCGGTATTTGTAAGTTTTTCTATTTATCCATCATCAATGAGCATAACTCCAATCCTATAATGTATAGACACGAATGTCGAACGTTCTATATAATTGTTTAAATATATAAGTTAAAATAGACTATGAGTTAAAATAAAAAGAAAATTTTGGTTGGTCGGTAATTTGTAAAAAATATCGACTAGCCTATTTTCCTCGTGAATATGAAAAACGGAAATCGATTGGTCCATCAGTTGTCGAGGAGGAATAATTTTTCACAACAGCAACAACACCCCCAATGTTGCGTTGTTAACTTAATCGGATTACCAATAATGTAAACAGCACAAGGTAGGTAGGTCCTAGTGGTTACCTATTGTGGAAACGACCCGTTGTTTCTATTTTGGGCAGCGACCTTGGTTAGGCCGCATATATAGCGCTAAGACTGTCCGCTATCGTGGAAAATATTTTCACTTGTACCTTGTACAGACATAAATCGCTACTATGCTGTTTTGGGTGCTATTGTGGAATGTGGATATTTCAATGAAAAAAAAAACATTTATTAATACTAAGGAAAAACTGAGAAATTGTTTAGGAAAAATATGCATTTGTCCTACTATAGCACCAAAAGTACAAAAATGTTTACTGGTTGCATGTCGATTGTATTTATAAATATGATGCGTATTTTAAGTTAAGACTAAAATGTCAACCAACTATCAATAATTAGATGGCAGGGTATGAAAATAACTATAAAAGCGTACAAGGCTTGTTACGTATGGAGTTACGCAAAATAAAAATAGAGAAAGCTGGAACAAGTATTGGTTACATACATTATCTATTTTTAATAATACGTGTAGTGATTTATGTATGACGTAATAGAAAATGAAAAATATAAATACTGTCTATAAAATTAGATCGGTTGCATCGAAACTTGGCGATTCATATGCATATGCTGAACAATGTGAGCAAAAGTATAAACAAATATTCTATTATTTCATTTAACATCACCTTTCAATTTTTGCATTGCATTCTCCACCACTAAGTCGTTGATTGAAATGGTGTTAAGTTAAAAACTTTTAATGAATTAAAAAGCAAAAAATATAAATAAAATATTATAACAGTGTAAAAACTTTAAAAATAAAATGTAAGGCAGGCAGTGAATTTCTTTCGCAACATGTTTAATTTCGATATTTGTATGAAAACTAGTGTACACAGTTAGACACGAACTGCGGTAAATCACGCCCTGCCGCGCGCGAAGTTGTGCCTTGGCAACGCAGGCGTTGGAGCCTAATTCTTCGTGTTTTAACTCCGCGCTGGAAATCGATTATTTATCACTTGTATTCACCCCCTATATCAGGTCAGGTTTCTGCAGATTCTACCCCCGCATTAGATGATTCCGTTGTCCGTTGCAAAGAATCATAGTCAGGTAAAATAAACATTGGAATGAGATCCGTTCCCGTTTTGTCTTCTCCATCTTCTGAATACCAGGATCCATATTCAGGAGGTTCGTCATCAAAGTAATTCACTTCTGGATTCTCCAAATCTAACGCCAGAGAAATTGTCGGTATTTGACCTGAGTAGTAATACAAAGTTGTTGATTATTTTCGAATAACGATATGACTAAACTGCATTAATTTTTAATAAATGTTTTCCGTTAAAATTTAGTAGTACATTACCAGTTTGATTCCCTCCGTTGTTTTGAGTTGTAGGAGAACGTTTCTTTTTACAACAGAACCAACAAAAACAGCACATTCCAATTACTCCAACAGGAATACAAACGCTTATAATAATGATTTGTGTCCTTGCATGAAAGAAATAAAAAGTGTAAGCATATTGTTACTTTCTATTTAGTATTCAAATTTTATGAATAGTATACTATATTCTTATATTTTTCAGAAATTATTTTTGGTTTCTCATTTTAAACTTGCCATATTCACTTTAAGTAGGCGCAAAGTATATATGAAATTGAAACATATATTTGACCGATTTCAGGATTTTTTACTGTGGGCCATGAACGGCGACACTTTTATGTCCATTCGCAGACTCAATTTTTCTTGTATGTTGTACTTCCGAGAATTATTTTTACTTTGCATTAAATTGTGTGTTAATTTTTCATGTTATGGTTTTAATTCTATATTTTGATATTAAGATTGAGCTCTTATGGATTTATCCCACGCAAGTCTCATTGAAAGTGGCAACTGTGTATCTTCGGACGCGGTTAACTACTCAAAAGAATTTTAAACATTTCATACTCTGTACGATGAAATTTTTCTTTTACTTCTACATCATATTCTGCTTTCGAACAACAGGCATTAGAGGAGCAGCAACGTCTTCCAATTGGGCATTCCATGTGCCATTGACAATATCGACCTTACAAAACAACATTGAACACAATCAACAGTATGAAAAGAAAAGTAGAATAGAATGTGGTCTGTTCACAAAATATATATATATACACCCTCCGCCTTGACAAAAAAAACAGAACAGCTATTCAAGTTATGGTACGATGTAATAAAGAACTATAATCAATAGCAAACTGTAATTTATCCCAGCCACTCGGGGGTGTTGTGAACTGAACTAGTAGTATTCAAGTACATACATTTGTTCTTACAATAAATCTTTCACAATTGCGACTCTGCCATAATATTCTTATAATTTATTACTTGGCACAAACAGCAGCCATTCATGTATGATACTATACTGGAATTTATGAACGTAATTATTACAATATGTATGGATCTTGCCTCTTAATCTAGAACTTTCTTTGTCACGCATAGCTCATGAAAATTGTAAGAAATTGTATCATATTAGTTGATTGATATTTCATATGCGATTTGCGTCGTAAAACGTTACTAGAGACCGCGAAACTTGAATCATAGAAATAAGAGTAATTTCTGAGCGGGGATTTTTTCAATTTTGGCAGTTACTCATATAATCCAGATAGTTGTTCAATACCATGATGAATTATTATAAAATTCAGAAACTTGTAATGCGATCTACATTTTGATGCCTTGGGGTGTAATGATAGAAATCTATGACAGCAGTTTGCCGCATACACTGATACACGAATATAACGCTTCACCAAATAAAGAATTGTGTTTTCTTGCTTAAATATTCTTTTTCTCAAAAATAATCCATGCTAGTTTTTCCATTATCAAAATCAAATGAGTATTTTCTATGCATTACCAAAATTAATCCACAATTTTGTTAACTATAGAAGGAGAGAGTTCGTCAAAAATGTATGAATGTAACTTCTGGCTTTCTTGAAACTGCATTTATTACATACTGTCGAGAGAGGGATAGGTACAGCGCAGAGGCTTCACATTCTTAACTGTTATTCAAATATTTTGTAGTCCATGGGTGGCGTATTTATGAAACCTCATAACATAATATAAAACCTCGCTTACCTTTAGCTTCTTGAATCATCAGTATACTAAGCATCAGAAAGACAAATGATATGTGTAATAATATCATAGTTAGATCTACCTCTAGAATACAATTTTATAAAACTTAACACCGCCGATATGTAACGAAATACAAAATAAACTTAGACTGCCCATGGTGTCTCAGGCTATTTAACTTAACTATAACTTCCTGATAAAGAAATGGTATACGTGATGTTACGCGTTGTACAATGCGGTTGATGACTTCATGCGCAATTACGTAAGAGGAACGAGCATTAAAATACCCTTTGAAGAAATTTAAACCCTAATCACACTTGCTGTCTATTGTTTCATGAGATTATGTTGAATAAACTTAGGCAAACTAAAGTTTATAAACTGTGCCGTACCGACTTCTTTAAATCAAATTTCCATGTGAAAAAATAACTAAAATAACGTCCGGAAAATATATTTGACTTGCATTGTATATAAATATGCTGTCTAGTAACACGCAGAAATATTTCATACATTATACGAATCAGTATTTTGTTTTAGCGTTGATGTTTCCAAATTTAAGAAATGATAAAGATTTTACCATGAGGGTTTATGAATTTTTTCATTTACAACAATACATTTTGTAATTATTACAAAAATTGTGCTATGAATTCAACATAATAATGACAAGAGGTAGAAAATTCGAATACAGCAATTCATCAATATTGCCTTTTGTACATCTGAAAATTAACTGACTGTATCGCATTGCTCACATTACTCGCAAAGTTTACAATGAGTAGGAATACTGTAAAATTACAGATAATTATATATATATGTTGGAAAATATTATTAAACAATACCAGGGAATACTTAAACAAAATGATTTCAGAAGAATGTTCGCATATGCAGGGTAACCCAAGCGGAACCTAGAAATTTCTTAATTACCGTACTCTACGGAATAAGGGGTAAATATTTAATTTTGACTACACTTGAACTTTTGTTTGTTGTATAATTGTACCCAAAAGTTTCAGTAATCTAGGACATTGCGCTCAAAAGTTATGTTCTCGAAAATGTTCCAAATGCCGTCCTTGGCGTTGGAGACAGACTGCGTCCTTTGCGTTAAATTTTCAATCACTCGCGTACAATTCTATATGGGTTTTCAGCGGATTCTGTTGCAATAGCAACCTTGACTTTACCAATTGTTTGAGGATTGTTTTGATCTACATTATCCTTCGAATACCCTTTATTAAAGATAAAAACGTAGGGGGTTCAAGTCCGATGAAAGAGGTGCCCACTCGACGCCACTGCTGATCAGACTTTCTCGAATTTTCTCTCTCAATCAGTCAAGGATGTGATTTGATGTGTAGGGGATCGTATTGTCATGCTGGAACCACTGGTAATCTCGATCAATCTCTATACACATCGTCCAATTAATATTCAGAGCTTTTCCGGCACCATGGCGGAACGTTACATAATTATTCACAGTTTGAGTCCTCTCGTTATCGCCTTCAAACCATTGCGGACCGATTTTGCCATGTTTGGAAATGATTACCCATATAGTGCTCTATCTGAGTGTAACGGTCGCTGTCAGACTCTCTTCGGAGGTGATGTGCCCCTGGAAACATCAGCGGATAGTGCTTTTCAGCGGAAAATCAAGTGAGTGATTGACAATTTTGCGCAATCGATGCAAGTCTGTCTCTAATGCCAAACAGGTAATTTCGACTATATTCTAAAGAGAACAGACCCAGATATCTGACACTTTGTATTATTTGCTATTTTGTCTTTTTGCTAGCACTCCCGAAGCACGACTTGTACGACATAATATTCCCTCTGTTGTTTCAAAAACTAAATTGTTTTTTTCTCCGTCACATTGTTAGTAATCGGATTCCCTGACCCCTTTTTGGTTGAGCGCTTAGTATGGACTTAGTTCAATGCACTTGCCAACCAGTGTCATCGCTTCAAACGGGTTATTTGAGTTATGGTACCTGACGAAGCAGTTTGTAAAAGAATACCCCTCCAATTATTCAAGATTTAGAATTTTCGAAAACACAGTTATGCCCCAATCTACAGTCTATTCAGTTTTATAGAATTACGTAGACTATTACGCAACCGCACAGGTGAACAGATGCTCTAAGGCTGGTCTAATGTGCTGCAGATGCTAATGTTAAATGATATCAATACACTCAGAGAACTCAATCTACAGATTATTATAATCTTACCAAAATACTGACATCAGTGTCCACTGCTGTTGGCGCAACACAGCAATACTCGAGTGTATTTATCCACAGTATAGAACGCATAGTGTGATTGCATCTGAACATCATATTCGAAAATGTTTTACTGCGGTTTTTAAATATTTCTGACTAACCCGGATACGCGTCATCCCGTACTTGGCGTACGCAGCCTAACTAACTATACGTAAAACGAAGTCGTTGAAACGTCGTGGCACTCGTAACACGTCGTCGGCGTACGTCATCCATGATCCGCAATACCGTTAGAGTTCATGATCATTTCGCGAAAGACTTAACCATATTTAGTTAAAATAACTGCATGATGCAGAAAGTGATATATGCGGGATTCGCGTCAGCCTACAAAGCATAACTGAAAATAAGAAATATTCTTCTGTGGGATCCAAGAAATTCGTCACCACCTATATTTTCAAAACGATATTTTTGATAAAGTAAGCCTAAAACTTATTAGTGGGGAAGACAGTTTCAAAGTCTGTTTATAAGATTTTACGTATAAAACATACAGAACAACAACGTATACGCTTGATTTTCAAATTCGCTGAAATTTAGTTCTAATATTTTATTTTACACCGTAGGAGTGTTTTATATATATATATTCATTCTGGTATAAATTTCGTATAGCGCAGCCAATTATTCAAACAAAAGTTCTCTCTCGAAAAGCGAATCCCAGGCTAACCAAGATGTGTCTTCACTGAAGTTGGAGTCTTTGTTTTTAATTTCCCGAAGTCGGGTTCGGAGACAATAATGTTAACTCCCGGGAGTCAAGAGTCGGTGTCAAAATAGCAGACTTTTATTGGTCACAAAAAAGTCAAAATCTACAGTCAACCTAACAAGTACAAAGTTTACTAAGGTTCCCGAAGGGCCCTAAAAGAAGGCTTACATGCGCGGATATTTTTCTTATCAAGTTTTGTTTATCTCGGAGATTGGGTGTTTAATCGAAGTCGATTTCAAGATTTCCACAGACTCCACAGCCTCGATGGACGCAGCACTGGTCGCTCATAGATAGGTAGGATAGTATGCTGAATCGTTAAGTTTGGTTAAAAACACACGATTATTAGAGACACCACACAACACTACTGTAATTCATTTAACCAGCTTATGTAATACCTTTTTGCATTCTAATATTGTGTTATTTTTATTTTGGTGCCAGGTCCACGAATATATCTAAAAATAATGCAGAAAGTTTGCCATTTACATTTGCGAGCAATATTATTTTTCAGCAATTACAGAACAGTGATGGGAGAATTGCTAGATGATTTCGAAGAGGCAAAAAAAAGGAAAAGGCTATTAACCACTGCACTGACTAATTGTACCCAGTCCCTTACACCATCTGTGAATATGTCTTCATGTGTGCACAATATTTCATTCAAACGCCAATAAATGAATAAAAACATTTTCTGATTCAAGATACATGGCACTACCTCATAAAATACATGCAGCAAACTCAGTATGATAGTTTTAGTTAGCGCAGCAAAGCATTGATTATAGATAATTAAAATCTTTCATTTTTTCTTTAAAAATATGATCAAGTTGGCAGCATTATTCAATTTCCTTTTGATTACTCTCCAACCCAACAGCAATTGAAACCTTCTTTTTGCGATCCCCTTTCGTCCAAGCAATGTACCCAGCTTGGAGCTGTGACAGTAAAACCACGATCTCTATTCTTATAACACTTTTTGTCAACGCAAACTGTGGGCACTCTGGATAAGCCTTCTTCGCCACAAACCTCTAGGTAATAAAAGAAAAAAATATAAAAATAATACGATATAAAAAATAACGATTTGTCAACGATGATCATTCACAAATACTATTACGCCAAATACTATCCTATCACAAAATACTATTACAATTACGTAGTTCAAAGTTGAGTGGCTATCAAAGTTCCGGCAGTGCATGAATTCGATGTTCGAGTATACAATTTAAAGCCGGCACACATTTAGCGACGAAAACTCAATTGATAATGTATTTCGAAGAGCCAGTTTTTTACGGTTTTTTGAGGCTTTCTCCACCTTTAAATACATAGATCTAAAACAAATAACTGGCTAACTATTCCAAACCGACATGGACTAATAATCGAACGATAGGTCATGGCTGGCAATTTGATCGAACTGTCTTATCGACTTTCTCTACCCGAGATAAATATAAAAATCTTATCCAAGCACTTAAAAATTATTTCTGAACCAACACCAACGTAGAGAATTTGTACATTCTAAGCTTTCTGGTCCGTCAACAACTTTAAAAAATATTCACCAACCTCCTCCATTGCATTTCATGTGAATGCAAATTCTACATTCACGAAGTTTCTTCTCCTCACAGCAAGTGTCCTCACAGTCGTTACACATTCCTACTATGCTCTCTTCTTCCCCGTACAATTCACCAGGATCACATTTAGCGACTGGGTAAAAACATAAAAGTTTTATGAAATAAAATTAATTACAACAAGCAGTCGTAGGCTACTGCTTTCTCAAGAGCTAAAAAGAATCCCAATTCAAAAGGAGAAAACGAAAGGAACTTAACAAGTACTTCTCATTTGAAGCAAAAAGAAAATTTCTCTCAAATTTTTACGATGTTCAGTGAACTAGAGAGAGAGAGAGGGGGGGATGAGAGTGAGAGAGACATTTTCTGAAATAATTAGGTATCAAATTTACCTTCGCAATGAGTTCCGTTTCCTTTATAACCTTCGTCACAAAAGCAAGAAATACCTCCTTTCCCACTTGCTCCACAAGTCGCATGTTCATGACAATTATTCTCAAAACATGGATCAACTATGATAAAACAGAGTTTTACCGTTTGTTTTGTGATATTTTATGCAATATTTCCTTTTTATTATTTGCTAATTCAGTGTGTTTGTCAAGAATTTCGCCACCATACGATTCCATGAATTGAAACGGATTAACGGACGGACTACATGCCGTGGTGTGCAACATAAACACGTCTTATGATTTTTTTATCTTATCTGGATTACTTGAAAATTATATTCTTACTATCATAGTCTGAAGAATTATATCATAGATGGATAAATAGGATATATATAGTCCTAACTAAATCTTAAATCAATATTTTCATTTAGCATACCTTCACACATAGTTCCATTGCCTTTGTAACCTTCATTGCAAGAACATACACTCGCTCCATCAACCACTGAGCAAGATGCATTTTTGTGGCAATCGTTGTTAGCACATGGATCAACTGAGAAAGTTAATCAAAAATTTGTACAAATCCTTGTTCATTCTCAGTCATCAATGTTATTTTTTAAACACCATGGAACTTACCAATGCATGAAGATTCATCACGAACGTAACCTTCCTTACATTCACAATCATAATCTCCTGTGTTGTCACCACGATCAACGCAAACTTCTTTAGAAGTACAGGTGTGTTTGTAACAGGGAATTCCTGCAAGAAAATGCGGTGAATTGTAAATATTATTCATTATGAGTTATGACTCATAAACCTCTATTTGTATCATCCTATTAGCCGTTGGTATGTATATATATATTGATTTAAACTGCATGTAAAACATGAATCCCTGGTCATTACAAATATTTCCATCTTGTTATAAATCTGTTAGAATTTACAAGTTACAAAAGAAGTTTGATTTAGAGTCCTTAAGCGTGAAAGCAGAAAAGAGTCATTTAAAGATAATTTTGGTAAAGATAAAGTCGAGTTAAGGAACTTGTTCAAATTTAGTACGATAAAAATGGATGCGAAAAGATTTCACACTTCCATGTGAGCCCAACTATCAGAGATGTTTAATAGCAATTATGTTTGTTTTATCTACTCACTGGTACAAACAGATCCACTCCCACTAAATCCTTCATTACAACTGCACACTGCTCGAGATCTTGTGTTTTTGCATGTTGCATCTGGAGAACAAGACGAAGTTCTCGAACATCTATCCTCTTAAAATTAAACAAAATATATATATTTTAGCAAGCAATAAAGTTTATTAGTGTTCTTACCAAGCACGAAATACAAGTGAGACGCATCCAAAGCTCACACCTGGGAAAACACATAATGAATTGGTGTAATTCAATTCAATGTTATATGCATGTGAATTTATTGACTTTCGGATCTATCGTAGATCCCAAACTAGAAAAACAACTTCATAGTCAAGTGGCGGTTATGGTGCGCGAGTGTAAGCACGTAATGAAAAAGAGAGATGCTATCCTCGATTGGTTTATGCGAGAAATGAACACAGCTGACATGATAAACATCTTTTTAATACTTTGGTCGAAACAATGTGATTATGGATGTTTATTGAAACACTGTACTTGTCACGAACATCGTAATCCGATTATTTTAAAGTCGTTCAACAATCAATTAGATACAAAAAACGTTGTACGCTGTATATGAAATAGCTGTCGTTTTCAGCGATTGAGAAGTATATTCTGGTGCACTGCATATTAATGTAACTTTTTTTGATTGTTTGCACAATTGCTATCATAAGAACTCTAATCTGCCGAATTCATTTTATTATATGAAGCTTGCTTTTTCGTTCAACAAAAAATCGACGAGCGTTATGTGACAACGCCAATAATGTTAGCATAAGTTGCAAACTTTTATTTCCACCTATGACCATCCCTAACTTAGATAAGAATAACAAGTGTTAACCTATATCTCGTTAAACTGCGAAAAACTATTGAGAAATGAAGTTTCAAAGGTTTTTTACACCTATTTCCTACTTCCTCGATTTAAAACTCAGTATTAGCATAACTGAATCATGTTGAAACAAATTTGTTATTAGATATAAATAATAAAATTGACATCTATTGCAATTCGATACTTTTCAAATATTGCATGACGGTACCGTTTGCGACGGCATGTATTGATATATTATGTTCTCATTAAGAAAAAGTCTACAAAAACAGATATTTGCGAATAATAAGTCGTTTACTTCTGAACAAGATACAACCAAAATAATAAAATTTCTCGTATTTTTTTTATATCTGTGTCAGATTGATCATTACTTCCCATATAAAAAATATGATACTATCATGTTATTGTACAATCACTAATTTTCTGATCCTGTTTACCTACGGTTACGTTATCCCTCTAGCAGCTAGCTCATCCTAAACATAATTTAGTTTAGATGAACAAAAGCAAAGAAAGCATATCAGACAATTGGCAGGATATTACCAAAAATAATTTTGAGCACAAATAAAAAAAATAACAAGTAAACTCACCAATGCAAGAAGGTATCCTTCCATTCCATCGATATATTCCACATGTAATCTTGCTTACTCCATCTAGTATATAACCCCTTTCACATGTAATTGTAACCGATTCACCTACTCTGTATTGCTTTTTCTGAATTTCATAATTGCCGTCAGATATTGTTGGTGGTCTGCACACGAATCTTACATCTGAACATCAAGGGAGAATTTTATGTGAGATCATGTTCTGTTTCTTCATTTTTTTCGTATATATATTTATTAATATATAAATCACAGTTGATCGGTACAGCTACAGCATTACTAGTTAAATTACTAATCATAGAAACTACACATTCATAATTCATCTTATGAGATAATCAATTATGGTACATACATCTTAGAATTTTCCATTTTTGATCATGTTTTTCTAATTTGCCATTTTGTTATGCAATGTACAATGACAAGCATTCTTATTAATATATAAAACACAGTTCATCTGTACTGCTACAGCATTAGTAATCACAGGAAATATACATGTATATTCATATGAATACCATCAATTATTGTACATACATCTTAAAATTCCCCATTTTTGTTCATGTTTCTTTATTTTGCTATTTATGTATGCAATGAACCGTTCAATATCCCTCACTTCATACAGATATGTGGTAAAAACATTGAATAGTAGTTTCTTTTTCTGTATCTTACAACGATATAGATAAAACTAGGCAGTACGAATGATACAATTACACAATTTGTTATAAAAATTACTAACATATCCCAACAGGCAATCTGTTTTGGAAAAGTTAACCTTTATTCCTGTTTTTGAATATATATTCTTTATCAAATTAGACATATGTCATTCTTTAAACTTCTGTTGTGTTACAGTGTGTTTATATTCGCGATTATCAAATAAAGATTGTTTCCATTAGACCCTAATCATTTGTAATACCTGTACTTACATTTACATGTAGGAGGACCAGGAGTCCATATGTTGTTTCCTAAACAAGTTCTTGTATCCGATCCAGAAATTTCGTAGTGATAATTGCATTCGTATTTAATAGATTGTCCCTTCGTATATGTATAGCTATCAATTCCAACCAAAGAAGCCTGGCGAACCTTCTTTGGTATTTGGCATGAGTTATCTATAAAAGAGACCAAATGAAACCAAATTGGAATGTTTTAAAATATAAAAAATGACCTTTATATTTATTCAAAAAATATGTTTCCGAAACATGATATTTCATCGTAGTAGCCTAATTGTCCTACTTTTACATATACACTGATAAACAAGGACTCGTATACTCACCGCACATTTGTATTTTATCAAAACAGCAGGGTAATTTCCCTCCGCATGTTGCATGGCAGTAACAGCCAACTGGATGCATGTAATCCAAAAGTGTTGGCATCGATTTGCACAGGCCAAAGCATGAGCCTATATTTTGTATAAAAGTTTTAATTAACACAATGATACACTCATACTATGTAAAATGCAATTCTTCTCAATTAATCATGTAGCATAGATAAAACTTCATAAACGATCACACTTACCTGCAGATGTTGGACTTACGAACATCAAGGCAGTTACTATTATGGTGGAAAACGCAATTTTGAAAAGCGCATTCATTGTTGCCGTATTCTTCAAAACAGTACTTCAATCAAAAGCCATGTTTTTGATGCCCATTTATACTTTTTGTTTGGGACTTTTCGAATTGCTTCCGGCAACAGACATATCTTTGGTTGTCGATCGTTTTCGTACGCGTTGAATAATAAGTTGAATACGTGCAAAAGTCAATGATCAACAAAAGAGCATTTAAAGTGGATGTTCAACATTATTATAGAAATTGAAGTATAAATTATCAATTCTGAATGCCATAATTTAAAACAGCGGACTGTAAGCCATCGAAATCCATTGTAAAATTTTTGCGAATTTCAGATGTATCAATGTCCAATAATGGAGGTATAATGAATCAGATATTTTATACAACCACTTTCGAAAACAATTTATTTTGATGAGTCATTGCTTTTATATTTGTCACAAAACACTAAAAGGGGATTTAAGTTGTGAGATTTCATAAGTGACCTTGCTGACAGTTTTCTTGATAACTTAGTTATTACCGGTTCGTTTTGTTGCGCCATAATTATTTATATATTGTAGCAGACAAATAATTAGTACAGTTGCCCGACCTTTGACCCCAGAAAAATTCTTCCTATACCTTTTCCTATGTTAGTCGTTGACCTTACCAATATAGTATTTCTCGTGGTAATTTGAAATATAAATAAGAACAAGTTGTTCTACCCAAATAATAACATTTGTATCGACTTGCTAAATATACTTATCATTTTACACAGACATATTTCAGATAATTGTTTCATATTTTAATGATTTTCGACTTTGTCTTAGAACAGACACAAATTTCTGTGAGCGTTGTAAATATAATACATTTGCACGAATTAAGTGCGTTGTTGTTGATATGATTTTTCCAGCTCATTGCTGAATATATATATAAATAATATATCAGACCTTTATTCCAATTATTCGACTGGGTAGATTCGAAGCGGCAACTAAATGAATGTTGTATAATTGCTGATAGCCATATTTGTAGGACCAACACAATATTTATTGTCATTATGTTTAAAAATTACCGATAAAATAAAGTGTATACATTACATTAGATTATTATTTTTCCTTTTTGAGCAAAGATCACTGACTATTAAATTCTGGAAAAGCTGATATTTGTGTGATAATTAGTTGATATGTTTAGAACCAAAGTTTTGATGCAAATTCTTTGAATTTACTTTGCTCAATTATTTTTTTGTTGTATTTCTATGAATAAAATGTACCGTATAATCGTGTATTACTTCAGTTTGTTCATTGTCTTTATCGTTCATTTTGCTCGATGTGATGGTTGACAGATTTTTCGATATCTCTTCGTTGTCGATACTGGCATTGTCGTTAAAAATATCAGAATTTCTGTTGGTAACATACCAGCATAGCTCTCTTATATTTTTGTATGAATATGATTTTTTTTCAAATCAGCTCGTGGGCCGCATAAAAATCTTTTGTGGATTACATGCGGCCCACGGATCGTTTGTTGTCTATATACCTGATAGAGCTATACGCAGGACGGATTTAGACTACGATGGGCTCCTGGAATTGCGGACCTTTTTCAATGAAAGGGTCTAAAAATATATTTCTAGACTTTAAGTCAAAAATATTTAAACACCATCTGCATTAATGACAAACTTGTGTTTCCTCTTTTACTCAAGTCTTATAATCCTTGTTTGGTATTGTGTAGTTTCGAGCTTAATGCAAAAATGAGAAATTTCTGGTAAAATTGTCTTTATAGTTTGAGTAGGGACAAGTGCGGAATATTCCTGATAGCCATTAATAGACCTGAATTAAAACTGAGAAAATGTGAAGATATAGAAACGAGATGTTGCTTTTCTACATATAAAACACACATACATCACCTAATTCAACGAATTTTGAGGGCATCAATAGTTTATGGGTCTAATAGGGCTATATCGGGACTTGGGGTTAGCATTTACGAATGCCAAATGATTTCCCAATCAAATCGATTACTTTTTCGAATCGAAACTCGAATACATAAAAGATGTGCAATTGTATGCGATAATTTTTTTGTAATGGATTCTCCAGACACAAAAATTATGGAAAGCATAGAAACTATCACCCATAGAAAATCTACATGTTGGAATTATGCAAAAAAAATGCAATGAATTATGATGTAAATATAACAGATTTGTTATAATATATGAATAATAAAATCAACATCTACTGCAATACGACACTTCCCAATCATTGCATTGACGGGTTGCTATAGCATGTATTGATATATCATTTCTCACTAAGAAAAAGTCAGATATTTTTTGCAAATATTAAGTCGTTTACTTCTGAACAAGATACAACCAAGTCAATAAAATTTCTCGTATTTTTTTTATCCTTACTCTCCATATAAAAAATATGGTACTAACATGTTATTGTACAATCACTAATTTTCTGATCATGTTTATCTAAGTTATCGCCCCACCCTCTAGCACATTGGTTCTTAAACTGGGGTCCGCGGTCGCTCAGGGGTCTGCGAAGCGATTTTAGGGGGACCGCGAGACAACCTTAACCTAGGCTTACCATACGTCCCGCTTTAAGCGGGACAGTCCCGTTTTTTAGCGTCTTGTCCCGCCGTCCCGACAAGTCAGTCAAAAGTCCCGCTTTGACGTTCCGCCATCCAGTATAAAACACGAACTTAATAAACGATCACACTTACCTGCAGATGTTGGACTTACGAACATCAAGGCAGTTACTATTATGGTGGAAAACGCAATTTTGAAAAGCGCATTCATTGTTGCCGTATTCTTCAAAACAGTACTTCAATCAAAAGCCATGTTTTTGATGCCCATTTATACTTTTTGTTTGGGACTTTTCGAATTGCTTCCGGCAACAGACATATCTTTGGTTGTCGATCGTTTTCGTACGCGTTGAATAATAAGTTGAATACGTGCAAAAGTCAATGATCAACAAAAGAGCATTTAAAGTGGATGTTCAACATTATTATAGAAATTGAAGTATAAATTATCAATTCTGAATGCCATAATTTAAAACAGCGGACTGTAAGCCATCGAAATCCATTGTAAAATTTTTGCGAATTTCAGATGTATCAATGTCCAATAATGGAGGTATAATGAATCAGATATTTTATACAACCAACCTGAAAAAGTCAGATATTTTTTGCAAATATTAAGTCGTTTACTTCTGAACAAGATACAACCAAGTCAATAAAATTTCTCGTATTTTTTTTATCCTTACTCTCCATATAAAAAATATGGTACTAACATGTTATTGTACAATCACTAATTTTCTGATCATGTTTATCTAAGTTATCGCCCCACCCTCTAGCACATTGGTTCTTAAACTGGGGTCCGCGGTCGCTCAGGGGTCTGCGAAGCGATTTTAGGGGGACCGCGAGACAACCTTAACCTAGGCTTACCATACGTCCCGCTTTAAGCGGGACAGTCCCGTTTTTTAGCGTCTTGTCCCGCCGTCCCGACAAGTCAGTCAAAAGTCCCGCTTTGACGTTCCGCCATCCAGTATAAAACACGAACATGTTCTCGTTACTATTGTTGCTGTGTAGCGCAACACTAGCCTACTTACTAAAGATGAATGCGTTATTTTGTTTGTTTCGTTGTTTCCCGCTAACATTGTTAGCGAACGTATCACATGTAAAATCAATTCTAATTGGTCCTGTTTGGACGTTCACGTGAATGTAACATTGATCAACGTCTTTTTGAAGGTGTTATCTACAGAAAAGCATGCTTGAGCGAACAGGGAAATTCTCAATGCTTGAAAACGGAAGACTATTTCATTATTCTTTATTCCTTTTGCTGTACATAAAAATCTAAATTCGGACCATTCGTATCGTTAGCGTCTATTCCTTTCTTTTTTCGAACTGAACCCGATATTTAGACAGGAAATATGCGCATGAATTCTCGATGACAATATGGTAAATGAGGACAGCAAGGATGGCTTTAAATGTGGGTATATGTAGTAAAATCGGAAACTGTAACGTTACGGAAGACGTCCCGCTATTTAGTCAAAAAAATATGATAACCCTACCTTAACCTCGCACTTTGATTTGAAGTAAAATTTTGATGTCATGCTTTTACAGTGTTTATCCAAAGCACGACACGCTCTAAGGCATTGTTACGTAACCAACGTTCTTGAACGTGGCAAGTACCGTAAATCAGAGCGTATACCAGGGTTGCCATATTGGCTTTTTTAACGCCAAATTTGCCATTTTTGGCTTTTTTCAAACGCGTTTGGCGTCAGAATTTCCGTTTGGCTTTTTGGCGTTTTTTTGGCTTTTTTCAAGTCTATTGTAGTGACTATTATTAAAGTCATATGAATTACAATATTTAGTGTGTAACAACTGAACAATAGCCTCCTGTACTTAGCTACTTAACATTAGGATTTCCTTGTTTGTTACATTAAATCTTAACCATACACAATAAGAAATAAGTGCAGTTTCTGCAGCTGCTCAGACAAATGTTCAAGCAGGGTTGTAAACATTGCCTCGTTTTTATAGTTTTGCGTCGTTCTGTTTCCAAAAAATAGTTGTATAACCTAATTTTCATTTTGCCTGATATGGTTTATGTGAGCTTTCAGCTTTAGTTTAATTCTGCAATTGCAATTGCAGTAACGATGTGATTAACTACGCTAAAATTACTGAATTAGATATCAGTGGTCCATCTGTGAGCGGCAGGGGGTTAGATAGTTTTTTAATAAAATTGATGGTTTATAAATTTTAAAAGAAAAAAAATTCAATAGTAAAGTACGATATCGAGAGAATTTTTTTTAAGCTGTAGCACAAGTTTAAGCAGAAACATATTGTAGGTATATCACATACTGACAGACTGAAGCGGCAACCTGTATTGTATATATCGAATGGTAAAATAATGCTGCCCGCTTGATATTCATTTTACTTTCTACAGTTCTATAGTAACTTTACTTTCTATTTGTGTGCCTCACTGAATGAACTGATGGCTCTACATCATCATCAGTACGTAGCCAAGGGCTCAAAATCTGACAAATCATGGGGCTTTTGTACTTAGTAAAATTGTTGGCTTTATCTAGCTTTTTTATGTCTTGATTTGGCTTTTTTTTTTTTGATCGCTGGGGTCTGGCAACCCTGTTTGCCTGTGAGAAGCAGACGTTCTGTAGCTCTGGTGGAAAACAGTTAATGAAAAAGCCGGAATCGCAGCAAAAAGTGAATTTCATGGTCTCAGGTAATATGTTTACTATTAATAATA